GACGAGAAGGTTCACGAGAATATTGTATATAGTTCATGACGTGGCCCTTGTGAGTTGCTGCATCATGAAGGAAACTGACGTTTATTATTATGAATATTGACTATGCATTATGTGTTCAAATATATATAAAATGCTTCTGAAAACCTCTAAATCAGCCTTTTACACATTTGTCCTTTTGGCCAAAATGTCCCTTATGACAAGAGTGTGAGTGAGTTTGGTTTTACGCCGCTTTTATCAATATTCCAGCAATATCACGGCGGGGGACACCAGAAATGGGCTTTACACATTGTACCCATGTCGGGAATCGAACCCGGGTCTTCGGCGTGACGAGGGAACGCTTTAACCACTAGGCTACCCGACCGCCCCTCTTATGACAAGAGGTATTATGGATAGCAACGTCTTTATTACACATACGCAACATGTCATGGCTACTTCTTTCCCCTTCACCGGGAGGCCGAAATTATCATACCTTGTCCTTTTCTAAATCTTGAAACATTATAACAGTATTTCCATATCTAATTGTCAGGCTGTCAAGTTACATGTAACATACATACAGCAACACAAGTATGCTCGTGCAGCACTCATGTTTACGCTTGACTATGCTGACCCGTTGTATTTGATGATGACTTTAGTACGAGACTCAACCGTGAGACTTATGCAGGAGTAACTCTTTGTTATAGAAGAACAACGATAGAATCAGCCGAGCTCCCTTGGGCCAGACTACCTACGTAATTGTCTGTGATTGTCCGACAAACATGATGGTCAATTTCAACACGCGCCGGACACGCGACCGTTACAATAACAGTGATTTAAACCAACCCAATCGATAAGGCAAACAACCCATGGGATGTTTTTACATCGCTGCCATTTCCATGCTTTTACGTCTTATGTAACACAATGTGGCTACGTAAGGGAAATCTGGCAATCTGCTTCATCACAAGTTGATCAATATCCTATCACCTAACACAGGTAGGCAGGCGAGGCCTTCATCAAGCGGACTCGGGAGATGATTGTCAGGGCACAAGTTAAGTGCTTGTTTTCATAGCAAATTAAAGGAATCAGTTTGATCTTCTTATAGTTGAACGGCATTAAAAGAAATCAGCTAATCGGCAGATGGCGCTGCACGACACACTTGTGTACAGGGACTGAGAGCTAAAACAACATACGTACCTGATAACGCGTACGGCAGTTTTTCTATATCCCCTGGTCACAAGTACAAATTGGCTAGGGTTTTAATTCAAGACGGATTAACCACTAAATTAACATACGCATCTGTCCCGGCGTCAACTGATTTACAAGTGATTACAGTAATGATTACGATAAACTGATGATATGACCATGTTGGTAGCAACTCTATTCAATTTATTACTCGAAAACCCATGGACCAATTGTGGTACATAAGCATACATATATACGTTCAGTAAATAATACAAGGAGTGAGTGAGTATGGTTTTACGCCGCTTTTAGCAATATTCCAGCAATATCACGGCGGGGGACACCAGAAATGGGCTTCACACATTGTACCCGGGAATCGAACCCGGGTTTTCGGCGTGACAAGCGCTACCCGACCGCCCCAGTAATACAAGGAATATGACAGGGATGGAAATGATGTTTCTACGGCAACATGTTTAAACAGTACATTAATATATTTGAATAGATTTTGTAAATTTTGCTTTACGAGATGAGAACAATGTGTTCAATTTGTACATATTAGTCATTGAGAGGTTTCAGCGATAGCAGCGCTGCGACCACTTTTCACCTAATGTACTTTTGATGAGAATAATGCTTGCAAGTCCGAACACCAAGCTTTTATTTTCGTTTCATTTAAAATATATAATTTATTAAAATAAATGTATTAAAGTATTTTGGCCCTGTGGCGAATTCCTTCGTTCACCCATGCAGGAAGGTAGCCTCTTGATGGAGGTAAAGTCATCATTTTCATTTCGATTCAGCGTTAGACCACGCACGCACTTCGGTGCGTGCCACGCGAAGGTCACATGTGTTTGTCTTCTTTTCAACGTTTATGTTGACTTTATAATCACATGTTCTGTGACAGTGGTCAAGATATATGAAATGTACAGAACATATGAGTGAGTGAGTTAAACTTTTATATTGCATCGGTAGTATTGTTGCGATGAGAATATATTTATTCTGTCTTCTCAAAACACATACGAGGTAAGCATGAGATTATTTTTCACTCTTATGTCATCTGTTTAGAAGTTTTGATTCATCTACTCTGCCCCAAACAAGTCTGAAATATCGGGTTTCCGCGTACATATCGTTGATGTCTTTTTTAATATTATTTGTATCCATGTACGAATTTTAAGACATTCCCATCTTTGAGTTAGAGCACATCAAAATGTATAATATCGGTCTTTTATTATTCATTCAGAGACATTGACCATCAAGTTATTTATCATATCATCAATATTTCCAGAAACATCGTACATGTCAACATGCACCAAATCATGACTCTCCAAAGTGATAGGTTGAAAGACGACCACGTTGGACTTGTTTGAACATGGAGAAATCGATGCACTAGCAGCACTTGAACTAACTAACCGAGACTGGACTCAACGTTTCCAAATCAACAATGCATTATTTTTACTATGTCAGAACCACAATACAGCTCTGTCCGATGGGTGAATGTTGCATGTTTCAATGAAAGACCCTGTTATTATATCATGCTATTTGTTTAAGTTATATTCGTCGTTATAAGATCTCAGCATCATGACAATCATTTAGCAGATATCGAGTTCCGCTGACAATCTTCTACAAAAGGTTATTTTGACATGTAAACTAAAATAAGATAACTATCCTTTTTGTCGACAACTGTTAAAATGCAGGACCTCAAATTATAAACTACCATGAATAACAGTAAGAAACGTAACGTGAATGATCCTGGATATAAATATCATGATCTGTTATTTGTCCATTTTTCAAACACCCAAAAAACCCAACCCTTTGATTGTCTTACATCTTCAAAATCTGTATGCAAATCATTCCGATCCCTATTTCGTAATAGTAAAATATCAAATTTGCATAAATTATCACAGCTATTAGAATAATCGTAAACTAGTAAACAGGTTCTTTTCAGCAAATATGTTTGTACTTTAAGCTAAATTAGTTCACATTCCATAATCACTGACCCCTGAAGCTGTTTTAGATATCACTGTAGGCAATACGTGAAGGCACCAAGTGTAGGTGTGACGTTCATTTCGCTCTCCTGCCGCGTCAACGACCTCCAGCTTCATCGCCTCGGCACGTGCTGGGGTTACATCATCCATGTCACCAAACATTGACTTTGTGTATCATTAATTGAGTGTTTGCAGAAGTCGGGTAAATAGCACTACTGTATGAAATCTAACAGCTTCCGTCGGTCTCGGCCAGGGATAATTGAGTTACGGTGGTGTTAATGGCGTTGTCGAAAGGGCCGCCATGCTGGTTGATGTGTATTGAGGACCACTGACAGATGATAATAACGTAGAACTGGTGCTCCGGCAGCAGTTGTTGATCACTGAAGCAATCTATTGTGTTACTGTGTAGATTGATATACAAATGCATATGTATATTCAATGGTTGAACTATTTTTCGACACTTATAGTCTTGATACTTGTCCATATATACCGTAGGAAACAAATAAGGGAACATCATTTCATTGCAGTGTCCCTTTATTTATTCCCAGATTTTTACCCACATTGACATCCATAGCTTGGGAACAAAACCTGGAAAACAATAAAGGAGCGCTTGTATTTTCATGTGTTCCCTTATTTGTTTCCCTCAGTATATGAATATTATTTATTTCTTGAAGAACTATTGTGTTTCTAAAACGCAAAGCAGTAAGTAAATACATAAATCTCCTTTGTAAGTCAGTGCTGATTGGAAACCGACGGATTATGAACGACATGGTTAGTTGAAGGGCAAAGTTGGATGTGAATTTACAACGTCAGCACCAGAAAACAATCAGTCTCGACTATCTGCGGACAAAGATCCCATTGGGCGTAAATGATTTGTTTGTTTGTTGTTTAACGCCGCACTCAAGCAATATTCCATCTATATGACGGTGGTCTGTAAATAATGGATTTTTATCCAGCTTAATGTGTGAGGAAAGCCCTAAGTGATGCACGTTTTTGTTGTTTACACGATTTTGGTGAGCACCAATACCGTGTTGACATAAAACGCATTATCATGATGATTATGGTGTTCCAATCAATGGTAGGCCACCAACTCTGGACACTATTTTGTGATTTAGAGTGAGTTGGGTTTAACACCGCTTTTAACAGTATTGAAGTTATATCGTGGCTTGTCAGCTTAATTAGGAGGAAAGCCCGAAGTGATGCAGGTCTCAGACGTTTACCACTTCGGTGGAACCCACGAGCACGGGTATGGTGCTGACAAACCTAGAAACATAATCGGGGCGAACCGGGATTCGAACCCACAATCATAGGTTTCTGGCGTGCCCAAGGGACGCAACTCTGCACAGCGAATCGCGGCGCCTTAGAGGCAATCAGTTCTCCAATTTGAGCAGATCTGATAGGGCAAAGTTACTCTGCAGCAATATTTGAGTGAGTGAGTGAGTGAGTGAGTATGGTTTTACGCCGCTTTTAGCAATATTCCAGCAATATCACGGCGGGGGACACCAGAAATGGGCTTCAGATATTGTACCCATGTCGGGAATCGAACCCAGGTCTCCGGCGTGACGAGCGAACGCTTTAACCACTAGGCTACCCGACCGCCCCCGCAGCAATATCTGAACCTGCGCCTACAGGTTTGCACCCCACTCGGCAATATTCCAGCTGTATGACCGTCCTTAAATAATGGAGTCTGGAGAGGTAAGACAACCGATATATACTTCTCCGCTTTTGACAGGGATGTTTTTTATCTTTCCATGATACACGAAACTGATTCTTATAATGTCATGTGTATATTTACAGAGAATGACATATCCCAGGTTGAGTAGAATATTTAATGATCCTTGAAACAACGAAACATACTCATAATAAAAGTTCAAAAAGATTTATTTCAGATATTTTCTCTTCACATGGCGAAAAAGCTTTTTGATAAAAATATCTCAGAACAGAAAAATATATATAATCTAAAATGACATAATATTCAGTCTACAAATAAAAACAGAACAAGTTACACATTGCTTGAGAGTTATCTGCTCCTGTCACAGACAAACGTACCACAGGTATGGCTGGTCACTTCAACCCCATCTACGCTCAATCAAAACAATGTCTTTCTTGGTACATCTCTGAATATTACCAAGTCATTTTTTCTGTTACAGATAAACCAACTTCAAAATTTGCAAAAGGAAAAAAATTGAACTCTGCAACTATTGTTTTGATAAAAATATGTTCATTTGGATAGATAAAATATAGTGTGTTTTATAATTAGGAAATTTACCATACAGTTACAAGAGGTATTTCTACCTCATTAAGTCTACTGTCTATAACGTGGCTTGTTTTTACTGTTATAGTATTTTTACGGCCCCCTCAATCTATACAATTTACCATTTTGCCTATGACAAGAACCCCATCTCTTTCATTCTCAGTTTCCTACATTTACGGTTTACGGCCCCCTCAATCTATACAATTTACCATTTTGCCTATGACAAGAACCCCATCTCTTTCATTCTCAGTTTCCTACATTTACAGTTTACGGCCCCCTCAATCTATACAATTTACCATTTTGCCTATGACAAGAACCCCATCTCAAGAACCCCATCTCTTTCATTCTCAGTTTCCTACATTTACAGTTTACGGCACCCTCAGTCTATACAATTTACCATTTTGCCTATGACAAGAACCCCATCTCTTTCATTTTCAGTTTCCTACATTTACAGTAAATTTGCTGCTGATCAGTCAGACATTTCAATTCAGTGTAGATGTGTACACCCCAAATAAGGAGTGAAATGCCAAGCTAGGCAGTATAGCTACTGCCACATGTTGAGTGCCTATACTTGCCCTGTACTCAACACACAGCCACTCAATAAACTACTTTTCTATAGAAACTGTTTCAAAACTAAATGTTCAGGCAGTGCCATAATTCATAGAGGGCCAAGGTACCATATCTAATATTGACACAGGGAGCCAAGAAGTACCATATCTCATGTCGACACAGGGAGACAAGAGGTACCATATCTAATGTCGACACAGGGAGACAAGAGGTACCATATCTAATGTCGACACAGGGAGCCAAGAGGTACCATATCTCATGTCGACACAGGGAGACAAGAGGTACCATATCTAATATCGACACAGGGAGACAAGAGGTACCATATCTAATGTCGACACAGGGAGCCAAGAGGTACCATATCTAATGTCGACACAGGGAGCTAAGAGGTACCATATCTAATGTCGACACAGGGAGCTAAGAGGTACCATATCTCATGTCGACACAGGGAGCTAAGAGGTACCATATCTAATGTCGACACAGGGAGCCAAGAGGTACCATATCTAATGTCGACACAGGGAGCTAAGAGGTACCATATCTCATGTCAACACAGGGAGCCAAGAGGTACCATATCTAATGTCGCCACAGGGAGCCAAGAGGTACCATATCTAATGTCAACACAGGGAGCCAAGAGGTACCCAATCACCCGGAGACATGTGCTGTGTTACCAAGTGTGTATAGCTGGATCAAGCTACCGTATTCGACTTAATAAGCGCCCAGGGCGCTCTCAAAATTAGAAATAGGGGGCTCTTATTAGAATGTTATTTTGATGGAAAAAACAGAGTTGAAAGATATATTTCGTGGTTTATGCCAGAATCCTTAAATGTTTATGTACGACAGATATATTTTTCCAGAATTAAATGCCCATAATTAAGGGTGCGTAAAACACACGAGTGCATAGTATACGCGAATAAATAAGTCTTGTGTACATTGATCACTCGGAAGGGGTGCTGATTGGGATTGTTCAATAGCCAATATCTTAGCAAATGTCGCTGTGGGCGCTTATTAGAGCGGGATGCTTATTGCGTCGAATACGGTATGTACTTTGGTTGAATATATCTTTTCCTTAGTTGGATAGTTGATGAATAGTTAAACTGAAAAACCTGAGGAAATGTTAACGTTTTGATTTAGAGCACAACATATTTATTATCAAGGCATATCTCACGGACCCATCTTTATTTCCAAATACACCACATTTCAAAAACACTGTAGAATTCTACATCTCCTTACACAAGGGACTATCACACAGAAACATACTACATGTACATAAAGAAAGTGCACATAAATCACAAAGAGAACAATGGAGTAGTTACAACAACAAAATATGTTCTGTTCCTCTTCTGGTTCATTGCTAAACTTATTGGTCATGCCTAAGGGACACAGCCTTGTACCATGGTAGTGATGTCAGCACCTACCATGGAGCTAGCACAGTTTCCTTCCTGTCGTCACTGACATTCTGCATTCTACAATGACTTTGTTCAAAGTAAACACACAGTATATAATACCAAGTATTAACAACTAACCCACTTCTGCAGAAAGAGAAAATGATCCCAAAGGTATCTACAATGAGACGTGACAAAGGCATACTGACACAATAGCTTGACGTAACAATATCCCAAACTACTATACATCAATATACACACACAGGCTGTCACAAGACAGAGATACAAAGAGGATATGATACTGTTAATGTACATGTCCAGTCAGGTGCGGGGGATTTCATCTTCCACCAGCCTCATCAACCAAATGTTCATCACTGTCCTATTTCTTGGTTTACGCATTTAATTGTTGTGTGAAATGTCATGGACGTCATTCTGCAAAGCGCACAACGCAAAGACAGCAACGATATACCTTCTCCAACTGAAGATGTGGTCATTTTCGAACCAGGCTCAAACATGCTACAGAAATATCAAGATTAATACAGAAAAAAGTGACAAACAGTAGCTAACTATGACTGCAGTATTGTGTAGAATACATTGTCCAGAGGAGGCGTCTGTAGACACTGTTACATCCAGTCTGGCTGCACCAGAACAAATGTCCTGTGTCATCAGTTTCACTGTCTGCACCTGTTTGTTTTTGTCTCTGATCCTTCAACATCTTCAGTTTGATCTCATTCACGGTCTGTTCTTTTTGCAAAGTTTCCAATAAGATAGAAGCAGTATAGACATCAATCCACCACTGGAGAACATGATGTGCAGCACATTCATCTGTGTGACGAACACGCATAAGGCCCTCTGTATCTCCCACACACACCAAACATCAGTGGCTTGAGGGACACACACATCATGACATGGCTCTCTGTATCCTCCACACCACACACATCAGTGGCTTGTGGGGAATATACAAGCCCCTCTGTATCTCCCACACACACCACACATCAGTGGCTTGAGGGACACACACATCATGACATGGCTCTCTGTATCCTCCACACCACACACATCAGTGGCTTGTGGGGAATATACAAGCCCCTCTGTATCTCCCACACACACCACACATCAGTGGCTTGAGGGACACACACATCATGACATGGCTCTCTGTATCCTCCACACCACACACATCAATGGCTTGTGGGACACACACAAGGCTCTCTGTATCACCCACACACATCAACGGCTTGTGGGACACACACAAGGCTCTCTGTATCACCCACACCACACACATCAATGGCTTGTGGGACACACACAAGGCTCTCTGTATCACCCACACCACACACATCAATGGCTTGTGGGGAATACACAAGGCTCTCTGTATCACCCACACCACACACATCAATGGCTTGTGGGACACACACAAGGCTCTCTGTATCACCCACACACATCAACGGCTTGTGGGACACACACAAGGCTCTCTGTATCACCCACACACATCAATGGCTTGTGGGACACATACAAGGCTCTCTGTATCACCCACACACATCAACGGCTTGTGGGACACACACAAGGCTCTCTGTATCACCCACACACATCAACGGCTTGTGGGACACACACAAGGCTCTCTGTATCACCCACACCACACACATCAATGGCTTGTGGGGAATACACAAGGCTCTCTGTATCACCCACACCACACACATCAATGGCTTGTGGGACACACACAAGGCTCTCTGTATCACCCACACCACACACATCAATGGCTTGTGGGACACACACAAGGCTCTCTGTATCCTCCACACCACACACATCAATGGCTTGTGGGGAATACACAAGGCTCTCTGTATCACCCACACCACACACATCAATGGCTTGTGGGGAATACACAAGGCTCTCTGTATCACCCACACCACACACATCAATGGCTTGTAGGACACACACACAAGGCTCTCTGTATCACCCACACACATCAACGGCTTGTGGGACACACACAAGGCTCTCTGTATCACCCACACCACACACATCAATGGCTTGTGGGGAATACACAAGGCTCTCTGTATCACCCACACCACACATATCTGTGGCTTGTGGGACACACACAAGGCTCTCTGTATCACCCACACACATCAACGGCTTGTGGGACACACACAAGGCTCTCTGTATCACCCACACCACACACATCAATGGCTTGTGGGACACACACAAGGCTCTCTGTATCACCCACACACATCAACGGCTTGTTGGACACACACAAGGCTCTCTGTATCACCCACACCACACACATCAATGGCTTGTGGGGAGTACACAAGGCTCTCTGTATCACCCACACCACACACATCAATGGCTTGTGGGACACACACAAGGCTCTCTGTATCACCCACACCACACACATCAATGGCTTGTGGGACACACACAAGGCTCTCTGTATCACCCACACCACACATATCTGTGGCTTGTAGGACACACACAAGGCTCTCTGTATCACCCACACACATCAACGGCTTGTGGGACACACACAAGGCTCTCTGTATCACCCACACCACACACATCAATGGCTTGTGGGACACACACAAGGCTCTCTGTATCACCCACACCACACACATCAATGGCTTGTGGGACACACACAAGGCTCTCTGTATCACCCACACCACACACATCAATGGCTTGTGGGACACACACAAGGCTCTCTGTATCCTCCACACCACACACATCAATGGCTTGTGGGGAATACACAAGGCTCTCTGTATCACCCACACCACACACATCAATGGCTTGTGGGGAATACACAAGGCTCTCTGTATCACCCACACCACACACATCAATGGCTTGTAGGACACACACACAAGGCTCTCTGTATCACCCACACACATCAACGGCTTGTGGGACACACACAAGGCTCTCTGTATCACCCACACCACACACATCAATGGCTTGTGGGGAATACACAAGGCTCTCTGTATCACCCACACCACACATATCTGTGGCTTGTGGGACACACACAAGGCTCTCTGTATCACCCACACACATCAACGGCTTGTGGGACACACACAAGGCTCTCTGTATCACCCACACCACACACATCAATGGCTTGTGGGACACACACAAGGCTCTCTGTATCACCCACACACATCAACGGCTTGTGGGACACACACAAGGCTCTCTGTATCACCCACACCACACACATCAATGGCTTGTGGGGAGTACACAAGGCTCTCTGTATCACCCACACCACACACATCAATGGCTTGTGGGACACACACAAAGCTCTCTGTATCACCCACACCACACACATCAATGGCTTGTGGGACACACACAAGGCTCTCTGTATCACCCACACCACACATATCTGTGGCTTGTAGGACACACACAAGGCTCTCTGTATCACCCACACACATCAACGGCTTGTGGGACACACACAAGGCTCTCTGTATCACCCACACCACACACATCAATGGCTTGTGGGACACACACAAGGCTCTCTGTATCACCCACACCACACACATCAATGGCTTGTGGGACACACACAAGGCTCTCTGTATCACCCACACCACACACATCAATGGCTTGTGGGACACACACAAGGCTCTCTGTATCACCCACACCACACACATCAATGGCTTGTAGGACACACACACAAGGCTCTCTGTATCACCCACACCACACACATCAATGGCTTGTGGGACACACACAAGGCTCTCTGTATCACCCACACCACACACATCAATGGCTTGTGGGACACACACAAGGCTCTCTGTATCACCCACACCACACACATCAACGGCTTGTGGGACACACACAAGGCTCTCTGTATCACCCACACCACACACATCAATGGCTTGTGGGACACACACAAGGCTCTCTGTATCACCCACACACATCAATGGCTTGTAGGACACACACAAGGCTCTCTGTATCACCCACACCACACACATCAATGGCTTGTAGGACACACACACAAGGCTCTCTGTATCTCCCACACCAACAGCTTACGGGAACACACACCAGGTCCTCTGTACAAACCCCACCAACAGCTTGTGAGAACACACACAAGGTCCTCTACACCACCAACATCAAAGGCTTGTTGTCACTGAGGTTCATTTCCTTGATTTCATCCACTTGTCGCATGTAAAAAGCATGACTATATAAACAGTGATACAACGGTTGACAATATATCTACAACTTGTGCATATACATGACTTCAAAAGTGCCTACCCAAAGCAGCAAAAACACTTGATGGCAGTAGGTGAAAATATACAACATAATTTATCATTGACATTACACATGCTTCATATACACTGCTACCTATTCATGGACATATAATACCCATCGCTGACAACAGTTATATGAGTAATAAGAGGCTCAACAATGGCTAAAACTTAAGAGGGCAGTCAGGAGGCATATTTTTTATAGGGTGGGATAAGTGTTTTTGAATGTCAAAAAGTAAAATAATGTTTCCAGTGTTGTGTTCACTGATGTCAAGTGCCTGAGAACCAGGATTATATCTTATTATTGTATTATAACCTAATAAAGAAATAACACAAGACATACATATCAAGGAGGCAGAACCTTGTCATATGTTGTTTCGTGAATCCTCAATATCATCATTGATTCAGACACAGATTCCCAATGTTGGTCTGAATTGTACATGAAGAATATACACATGCAATACAGGAGATTAACCATTTTAACTTTAGAGTGAGTGAGTATGGTTTTACGCCACTTTTAGCAATATTCCAGCAATATCACGGCGGGGGACACCAGAAATGGGCTTCACACATTGTACCCATGTTGGGAATCGAACCCGGGTCTTCGGCGTGACGAGTGAACGCTTTAACCACTAGGCTACCCGACCGCCCCATTCTTAACTTTAGAATATTCTTTTTCCACCTTGTTTATAAGTGTACAGAACATTGAAACAGAAGAGAATAAATCCATGCTTTAATAGTTTGAAACCTCAGAAGGTTTATAGTACATTCAGATAAAATGATATCTCTTGTCAATATATATACAGTTTTCATTACAAATAAATGAAAACATCTCATATCACATCAATGGCAAAAATCAAATTCACATATGTTTAATCCTTTAATGTTAAATTACAGTAGAGAATATTTGAAACTGCAAGAATGTTGACCTTGCAGAAATGGCTAAGCTTTGTGGGCCTGGGAGGGACCATGTCGATCACCAGGCATGATGATGTATTCAAGGGTTCGTCTTGTGTTCATTCACAATGTATCAAGTTGCCACTATGACACAACTTTACATACTCGGCTGACAACTCCTGCGATACATCAAGTCATCATACAACATCATTTACCATTACTGTTTACTTGCTATAAGCACCTCTGTATTTGTTGACTGAAATACAGACTGGAGTTAATTTGATCTTGTGCATAAGACAGCCAGGGCAGCTAGGTGTCCATGTAAGCATCTCTGCGTTTAGTTGACACCTGCGTCACGTTACTCCGGATGCTGCTTCTCAGCTTCTGTCTGGTTGACTGGTCCGGCTTCTGACTCGTTGTGTCTCCATCACCAGAGCCCAATAAGTCGTGAGCCTTGCCATCATTACCGCCTAAAACGCAAAGACATCTTTCAATTACATGCTCAAATTACATACTCAGTTCCCACGAAAAACCAACACAAGCAAAACGTTAAAATCTCAACATGAACATTTTCATTTGAAAAATACCTTGAAATCATCTAAAGATTATTTATAATGTCATGTTAAATTATGACAATCTGTGTGTCATGGTATTGTTCAAGGAAAACTGCACTTGAGGTTGACACCCAGGTTTGAATAAATTAGATTAACAGTTTCCAGTTAGAAGACACAAAGCTGAGTCTATTAGTTGACAAAGTTCCATTAAGATATTATTATTTCATTATTCCTCAGGACACACTACAACACCATTTCTACAGTAGCTAGTATTTGTGTAACATGCATCCATTTGTAAACCAAGAAAACACAATAGGATTGCTCTCACAGCCAGGGAACACACAATAGCATTGCCCGTGGGGCCAGGGAAGGGGGTAACTAAGACACTGCTGCCAGGAAAGCCACATGTACAATTCAGCATGATATACAAGCGTAGCGCCACACTTTTTTGGATTTTCTGGTTTACACAAGTTTTGCTCGCCAGTTTTGTGTAGCTAAATATTTGTCATCTTATTTGACAGTTGTTGTTCAGGTCGATTGGTTTGGTAGGATAAGTAAATGTTAATACTGTTTAAATACTGGATACAGTGAAATCTATCCAAATCAGACTCTGTCAAATATAGATTTCAATGAAAACCGGACTTTTTCTCCGGTCCCCTCCATTACCTAATAACTTATCATTACTCAAACTGACCTACAACTCTCTAATTTGGACGCTTCACACTAAAATTACGGTGCCAACAACCAATTTACTATTGAAAAGAAGCTGTCTAAATCGGACTGGGCCAGACCGGACCGGACCGGATGTTCTCTGACTTTGAAGTAAGCTCAGTCATTGTCAGCTGAAACAACAATGCTAATCCTGCATGTAATCCAAAAGATCTTAACACTTTGTCGTCTGCTTAGTTAATTAGAATTTACTCATAGTTAATGAGAAACTCAGATTAATAATGAACACACAATGCTTTTAATAAAGTGGTCAAATGTAACAAATGTTATATTTGGGATAACACTTTTCTAGTAAAGTACAGATTCTCATACTTTTTGGGGTAGAGTCCCATCCGGGATTCGAACTCACACTCCCAGAGTGAGACACCTAATCGCCCGCACATCTAACGATCTAACCCACCAGCCACCAAGGCTTCCACAAAAATGAAAGTCCAACAACTGTTAGTCTAGCTTTCTTGGATTAACAAAGTGTCAATAAATATTGGTAAATACAGCTTGTCATTATCAATCGTTCCCAGTTACCGAGACAGCTTTATTCTGATTGGCCCAATGACTTTGAACAGACAGATGTTTAGAAAGAGTAGGAAAATTCTTCTGTTTCATACACTCCATCTCATCCAAACATCGTAATGGGCAACTTGAAATTGAATGTTTGCCTCCTCATTGCACCGCTGTGTAATCTTGGACCTAGCTGTAAACCAGACTATTTTACCGTTCCCAACCGAGTCAGAATTGGACAGATTCCACTGTATTTGTATTTCTACAGTAACACGTTTTACTTATGAAAGCCTTTGTTCTCCTTATAAGAGGGTTGCGCGGCCAGTGATATTTGAGCAATTATTGTTAAAAAATTAATTATTACTCAAATTAGTATATGATTTTTGTAGTTGTGGTCAAGAAACAAAACATATATTTAACCAATTTGTATTTTCTGATTGTGGCTTATAATTCTCCAATCAGTCGAATTTGTGAAAGAAAAACATAAAAGTTTCACCCAATGCCACTCCATGCTGACACTCGGGGCCACAAGCAGGGATGAGGGGCACATCCGGTGTGTGCACAGATAGGGCAACTTGTTGTACAAACATAACAGCCACAACATCAGAATCCCCAAACAAACACAATGTTCTACACAAAAACATAAGGGTGCAGAAGCTCACCTGAATTTCTGAATATGCCTACTCAATACTTTTGAAGGAACATAATTTTCATCCAAAGAAAGGGGGCATGGTAGCCTTGCTGTCTTAGTACCACACTGGGCTGTGCAGAGTTGCATTCCTTAGACTTGCTGGTCCACTGGGCATGCCAGAAACCTATGATCATGCATTCAAATCCCGGTTTGCTCCGATTATGTTTCGTGTATGTCAGCACCATACCCATGCTCATGGGTTTCACCAAGTTGTTAAATGTCTGAAACCTGCATCACTTCAGGCTTTCCTCACGCATTAAGCCGACACGCCATGATATAACTGGAATACGGTTCAAAGTGGCATTAAACCTGACTCACTCACTCACTTAGGTGTGCTGGAAATGATTGAGGGTTTGAATCTTAGATTATGTTTCTAGATTTGTCAGCATCATGTTGTAATCAGAGACATAATATTACTGCATTGTTGATTATGTTGTTATTCACATGCCCTTGATAACACTTTCTGTTTGGGAACATAAAAAGAATTAACACTTACTTGTGTTCGATTCATACAATTTCAAGATGTTTGGCAAATGTGCTTCATTAACAGGTCCCCTGACAGAGAGAAGGGGATTCAAGCAATCACACTCACCCACACTAATCCCAGCTGAGCCAGACCCCAATAGCACTGCTCTGTCAACCAATACAACTTCTATCCACATCTCAATTTCAGTTCTTGGCCTGCTACAGCCTCACTATCAGTTTCTAGGGGTCTAGACACTCACTGTTTCTATGGTATGGTACAGACAATCACAAAGCACATGTCTATGAAAAGCAACACTGGACATCCCCAAAAGCATGATGTCCGTGCATATCCAGATTAAGCAACAGTTAAGCTCATCTCCTTCCAACACAAGCAATATGACAACTCACATATCCTTGCAACACAAGCAGTATGACAACTCACATATCCTTGCAACACAAGCAAGATAATAGCTTATTTCTTTTCAATGTAAGAAAGATGTCATCTCATATCCTGGCAACAAAAGCCAGATGTCAGTGCAAATCCTTGCAACATAAGCAAGATGACAGCTAGCTTACATCCTTGCAACATAAGCAAGATGGCAGCTTACATCCTTGCAACATAAGCAAGATGACAGCTTACATCCTTGCAACATAAGCAAGATGACAGCTTACATCCTTGCAACATTAGCAAGATGACAGCTTACACCCTTGCAACATTAGCAAGATGACAGCTTACACCCTTGCAACATAAGCAGATGTTAGATCACATCCTTAAAATATGAACAAATTGCCAGTTCATATCCTTGCAACATTAGCAAGTTGTTAGCTCACTTCCTTAAAACATAAGCAAGCTGTTATCTCAAACAAGTATCGTTGCAAAATAAAGCATGTTTCACCTCATATCCTTGCAAAGTAAGCATAATGTGGGTTCAATGTGTATCATATCAGCTGTTATCTTCGTAAAATATGCAATATTTCAGTTCATATCCTTGCATAATAGGCATAGTAAGATATCAGCTCCTTGAAGCGTATGGTACTAGCTACACACAGTGCTGGCTACAACTAGAGTCACACACAACACAAAGCAGCCAGAACTGGGTGTCAATGTCAGAGGAAAGCAACCAATGAAAATGATGTATGACAATTACAAGGTTTGCACACTGTAATCAGTAGTCAGTGTATTGGTGTTGCCACGATATATCCGGTTAAGGCGTTTCCGTTGATTTAAACCTGTAATACACATAGCAACATGGATCAATCTGAGGATCAATCTGAGGATCGGGAGGATCAGTCACAAGCACCACATAGTGGACACAACTGTGCACAAACAGTTTTTCCTTGAATACCATGTGAATTGTTTAGCAGAAAATAATACCTCAGTATATTGTTTTCAAAGTGACATGGTACTATACTGTAGCTCACCTGAGTTTTTCTGGAGTATTTGCATCATTAGGTAATGAAGGTGAGGTGAGGTGAAATGGGGTTTAACGTCGTGTCAAAGATTATTGCACTTATATAGCGACGTGCATGCACGTGTATGTGTGTGTGTGGCTGCTTGTACTAGTCCGGACTGATGCCGATTTATAGTGCTAGCACACTGAGATACCATGCCACAGTTTAACATGAATACCCCACTCAGACACAGTATACTGACTCCGAGCCGACCAGTCCATGTTTTAGCCCCTTAATGCCGAGCGCCAGACAGGGTAACAACAAGTACCATCTTTTAACGTCTTTTGGTATGACGCGGCTGGGGATCGAATCCCGGACCTTCCGCTCTCCGAGCGGACGCTCTACCAATAGACCACAGAGGCGGTCTAGGTAATGAAGGTCATACAAAGGGTGAAAAGAGTCAAACTGTGCTGACAATGTACAATATGTCATCCCACAAACAATATACCTACTTCAAAAATTCCATAATAATAAAATTCCATGTTAATTTGTTTGTTGTATAACGCCCAAATCAGTAATATTCCAGCTATATGATGGTGGTCTGTGAATAATCGAGTTTGGACCAGACAATCCAGTGATTGACATCGATCTACACAATTGGGATACGATGAATGGATCAACCAAGTCAGTGAGCCAGATCACCCAATCATGTTGGTCGCCTCTTACGACGAGCATAGTCACCTTTTACGGCAAGCGTGGGTTGCTGAAGACCTATTCTACCCCGGATCTTCAGGGATCAATTCCATGTTTAAAATCAGATGTGATTTCTGCGTAATAGGCCTTGTGGTTTCAGAGGAGAAAAAGTAAAAGTTTACAACAGACAAATGAACACTTGGGTGAAAGACAAAGGACTACATATGCTCAACTGAACCATGGGCCCAGGTGAGCTAAAACTATATTGTTTCAAATGGAATGTTCTTCCGATAAAAATGGAATATAAACAATCACACACATTCAATAATTTAATAGTTGGGTAGAAATTTATTTGCAAATTAACTGATCATTTCAGAATAGTTCACAGACAAACACTGACATCTGTGTGAGATAAATATCTGTAACTGTCCATTTGGATCATGCAACCAAAACAACCATGTTGCTCAACAAAAGGCAACTCAAGGAAGCAAACTATTCATACAGAATCACATACATCTAAAACTGGCAATTGTGTTTCATAATCAGGTTATTTCAGGGTGCCTACTTTCCTTGTATTGGGGTGTTTTGTATATTCAAGTTATATCAGGGTGCCTACTTTCCTTGTATTGGGGTGTAGTGTATATTCAAGTTATATCAGGGTGCCTAGTTTCCTTGTATTGGGATGTGTTACGGGATATACAAGTTATATCAGGGTGCCTACTTTCCTTGCATAGGGATGTGTTGTATATACAAGTTATATCAGGGTGCCTACTTTCATTGTATTGGGATGTGTTGTATATACAAGTTATATCAGGGTGCCTACTTTCATTGTATTGGGATGTGTTGTATATACAAGTTATATCAGGGTGCCTACTTTCCTTGTATAGGGATATGTTGTATATACAAGTTATATCAGGGTGCCTACTTTCCTTGTATAAGGATATGTTGTATATACAAGTTATATTCAGGGTGCCTACTTTCCTTGTATAAGGATGTGTTGTATATACAAGTCATACCAGGGTGTCTACTTTCCTTGCCTAGGGATATGTTGTATATACAAGTTATATCAGGGTGCCTACTTTCCTTGTATTGGGGTGTGTTGTATATACAAGTTATTTCAGGGTGCCTACTTTCCTTGTATTGGGGTGTTTTGTATATTCAAGTTATATCAGGGTGCCTACTTTCCTTGTATTGGGGTGTAGTGTATATTCAAGTTATATCAGGGTGCCTAGTTTCCTTGTATTGGGATGTGTTACGGGATATACAAGTTATATCAGGGTGCCTACTTTCCTTGCATAGGGATGTGTTGTATATACAAGTTATATCAGGGTGCCTACTTTCATTGTATTGGGATGTGTTGTATATACAAGTTATATCAGGGTGCCTACTTTCATTGTATTGGGATGTGTTGTATATACAAGTTATATCAGGGTGCCTACTTTCCTTGTATAGGGATATGTTGTATATACAAGTTATATCAGGGTGCCTACTTTCCTTGTATAAGGATATGTTGTATATACAAGTTATATTCAGGGTGCCTACTTTCCTTGTATAAGGATGTGTTGTATATACAAGTCATACCAGGGTGTCTACTTTCCTTGCCTAGGGATATGTTGTATATACAAGTTATATCAGGGTGCCTACTTTCCTTGTATTGGGGTGTGTTGTATATACAAGTTATATCAGGGTGCCTACTTTCCTTGTATTGGGATATGTTGTATATACAAGTTATATCAGGGTGCCTACTTTCCTTGTATTGGGGTGTGTTGTATATACAAGTTATATCAGGGTGCCTACTTTCCTTGTATTGGGATATGTTGTATATACAAGTTATATCAGGGTGCCTACTTTCCTTGTATTGGGGTGTGTTGTATATACAAGTTATATCAGGGTGCCTACTTTCCTTGTATTGGGGTGTGTTGTATATACAAGTTATATCAGGCGTCACCGACAACTTGCCACCTGAGACTGTGTTTTACCTTTGCGGCTGCGAGTGTCACAATTCCGACCAGAACATGCTTTCAAGTGCTTCAGGTCTTCATGGAGTTGCTGCAGCACCCCAAAGTTTAGTTTGGCCACAGAGTTCTCAAGCTGAAACAGTCAAAGACTAGGTAAGTACAGTCTGATCAAAATATTATTTCAACAATATCAGTGAGTATGTTTTACATCGCTGTTAGCAATATTCAAGCAATATCAGGGCTGGGGAGACTGGAAATAGGCTTCACACATTTTACTAGGGGTGGGATGGGTAACTCGGGTACTCCGGTTGGGTGGGAACTAAGAAGGACCTGGGTACCCACAGGACTACCTGGACCCGTAGTCATGTGATATATAGTTTAATGACAAAAATGATCTAGAACTATATGGTTACACTACAAGTTACTAATGTTTGCATTTCTTTCTGACTATGCACCCATTCCTTCTGACTTTTATATGTTTGAATAAAGATACAACTTCCAGTTTTCAGTGTATGCATGACCAGATCGTTTTATATATGCATCTAAAAACTTTTTGTACAGGTCAAACTATTCCCAATTAGACATATTGTACCTATCTCTTGAGACCTACAGCGGGTACCAGGGTAGGGTCGGGTAATAGGGGGTTGGGTCCCTGGGTAGTAAATTTGGACTCGTCCCAGCCCTACATTGTACCCACATGTCATCAGTGAGCGAACACATATCACTACTGGGCTACCCTTCTTCTGATAAGCTTGTCCAGGGGTAAATGAAGCTCTTTTTTGTTTTGTTCTCGGGGCATTGATATTCCACACCTCTGGGAATGATGGAATGAGTGGACTAGAATGTGATATGTTGCCACATACTGCCTAATAGTGGACTAGTGTGTGATATATTGCCATATAACACCTAATAGTGGACTAGTGGGTGATATATTGCCATATACCGTATATCGCTGTGTATAAGGCGAGTTTTTCGTACCTAAAATGAGGGGGTTAAGAAGGGGGGTCGTCTTATACACGGAGTCGAAGATCTCACATTTTTTCCACTGGCGATGTCAACCGGCGTCCGATAGCCAGCCCAGCATTTGACAATAAAACTTCGCATTTCGTCCTAAATAACTGTTCCAATAACTATTTCCATACATAAACATGATTTGTATCTCTTTTCCTTGAATAAAGTTTAATAATTTCTGCAAATAAAGTTGAAATGACCCTCGCCTCGATGCAGATTGTCAAATCAGCTGACACGGTAAAACAATCAACATCCGTGAGTAGAGAGCCGGAAGTACTGGTAAGCATTTGCATATTGCACATATGACCTAACATTTGATAACCGGTGAAGCTGAAATCAATTCCCGCTGTTTTTACAGTTGTACTGTTGGAGACAGTGTGAATAAGTGATTGTGGAATAAACATGCTGAATGTGAAGCAAATAGAAGCCTAGTTAGTTACAACATAGTTAATTGGCGATTAAATTACTCACCATTGTCTCTTATATGTTATTACTTCATTAATGAATTTTATTTTACGGGCACCAATTTGGTGTCGTACCGTGTAAACACAAAATGGCAACATGTGCTGGAGTTACACACGCGACCAATCATCGTAGAAAAAACAACGCAAGATAAACATATTTTTATTGCATATATAAGGTTTGTGTGCGCACTTGTGATGTGCTTCATTCCAGGTCGCCTTATACACGGAGTATAGGATTTGGGTTGATTTTGAAGGTGTGTACAGGGGGGTCGTCTTATACGTGAGGTCGCCTTATACACAGCGATATACGGTACTGCCTAATAGTAGACTAGTGTGTGATATATTGCCATATAACCCCTAATAATGGAATGGTGTGTGAATATTGCCATATAACACCTAATAGTGGACTAGTGTGTGATATATTGCCAGATACTGCCTAATAGTGGTCTAGTGGATGAATATTGCAATATAACACCTAACAGTGGACCAGTGTGTGATATATTGCCATATACAGCCTAATAGTTGACTAGTGTGTGATATATTGCCATGTAACACCTAATCGTGGACTAGTGTGTGATATATTGCCAGATACTGCCTAAGGCAGACTGCTGCCAGATGAGATTGTGTACGTTTTATGTGACCCCCTTCAAGATATCACCTTGCATCATAACAAAGAAGAAGAAAAAAACATTAGCTTACCTGATATGGATCCTTGTTGAAATCATAGAAACTGAAGAAACGAGTGATGAACTCACAGTACAGGAAGTTGTGTGTCATGTTGACAGTGCGGAGACACCAGTAGGTGTTGTTGTTGGCATTGGGGCAGAAGCAGAATGGACCCACTGTAACACAGACTCAACACCTGACAAAACGTTAGTATCATAATCTATTACTAAATATTGTCCACCACATTCCAATCTACACTACACCATGTACAAAGGAATATTTAGTATGTGACAAATCATAAACTGCAGATTGATTTTTACATTTAGACATTAATCAAACCCTTTAGCCACAACAGTGCAGTCTGATGGATAAATGATTATTAGGAATTAACGCTGTGTCATCTTTTGTTTCCTTACTTTTAGTAACATAAAATTTCTACCCTAGAAATAGTGTGTAATTTGTAAAATATATGAATTACTGAAATTATAATCCTGGTGTTTGAGAACAGTCTACCTCCACATAAGTGTGTGCTTTTGTTGTTTAACCCTATACTGTAAATGACCACCTGTAAATAATTGAGTCTGGACCAGACAATCCAGTGATCGGTATTGTGAGCAATGATCCATGCCAATGGGGTACAATGACACACCATGAATCAAGACACCAAGGCTGACCACCTGATCCATTAAATCGCCTCTTACAACAAGTATAGTTTGCTCGAGACCAATTCTAACCCAGTTAGAGGGGGATCCCCTCCACTTGAAACCAGAGAACTGACATTCAACGTATAACCCAACAATTCAGCACAAAACATTAACCAAGATAATGATTCATAGGTAATAAAGCCTGATCACTGAAAACAAAATATACTCATAAATCTTACTAAATAAAACACAAGAAAATGTCAAGGTTATATAAACTAAAACTTCATACCAGACAAGTCAGCTCTATTTCATATGCTCTTATTTACATAGATTATGATTTCTTACACAAGATTATACTTTTTTTTAAATTGAATAAGAAATATTTGCTAAATCTATAAAGCTGAAAACAAAAAACCTTGTTTTAGTCAATAATTTGCAAACGAAATGCGTGAATAAAGTCAAGCTTCTTCTAAAAGATGAATGAAAACAAAATAAAAGTGAATATGAATAAAAGCTGTTACATAAAAAGCTCACTTGAAGGACAGTGCTCATTTGGATATGAGGTGCAACAAAGCAATGGCAAAAAGATAACTAGCAGCATACATAAAGTCTGTACTTAACACAAACTTCCAAAACAAAACTTGCAATAAGGAAACAAACATAACACTAGTTGTAAGAAATGAAAACTAGACTATAGTAAAGGGTGTGTGCGTTTTAGTGCCCTCTGCTTAGGGATTGAACATACTTAGACATATTTACTTCATCTAGGCATCAGTGAGACAGTACCAAACCAGGCCTATACCACGAGATAAAACAGTAGTCTTAGGCATCTAGTGCAGCAGCCTTTGTAAGGTGGCCTATTAGATATTTGCACAACCAGGAGTGGCCATCTGGCAGTAAGTGCAACATGGCCATCTGGCAGTAAGTGCAACATGGCCATTTGGCAGTAAGTGCAACATGGCCATCTGGCAGTAAGTGCAACATGGCCATTTGGCAGTAAGTGCAACATGGCCATCTGGCAGTAAGTGCAACATGGCCATCTGGTAGTAAGTGCAACATGGCCATCTGGCAGTAAGTGCAACATGGCCATCTGGCAGTAAGTGCAACATGGCCATCTGGTAGTAAGTGCAACATGGCCATCTGGTAGTAAGTGCAACATGGCCATCTGGCAGTAAGTGCCACATGGCCATCTGGCAGTAAGTGCAACATGGCCATCTGGTAGTAAGTGCAACATGGCCATCTGGTAGTAAGTGCAACATGGCCATCTGGCAGTAAGTGCAACATGGCCATCTGGCAGTAAGTGCAACATGGCCATCTGGCAGTAAGTGCAACATGGCCATCTGGCAGTAAGTGCAACATGGCCTTCTGGCAGTAAGTGCCACATGGCCATCTGGCAGTAAGTGCAACATGGCCATCTGGCAGTAAGTGCAACATGGCCATCTGGCAGTAAGTGCAACATGGCCATCTGGCAGTAAGTGCAACATGGCCATCTGGCAGTAAGTGCAACATGGCCATCTGGTAGTAAGTGCAACATGGCCATCTGGCAGTAAGTGCAACATGGCCATTTGGCAGTAAGTGCAACATGGCCATCTGGCAGTAAGTGCAACATTGCCATCTGGTAGTACGTGCAACATGGCCATCTGTCTGTAAGTGCATCTGGCGGAAAGTGCAACATGGCCATCTGGCAGAAAGTGCAACATGGCCATCTGGCAGTAAGTGCAACATGGCCATCTGGCAGTAAGTGCAACATGGCCATCTGGCAGTAAGTGCAACATGGCCATCTGGCAGTAAGTGCAACATGGCCATCTGGCAATAAGTGCAACATGGCCATCTGGCAGTAAGTGCAACATGGCCATCTGGCAGTAAGTGCAACATGGCCATCTGGCAGTAAGTGCAACATGGCCATCTGGCAGTAAGTGCAACATGGCCATCTGGTAGTAAGTGCAACATGGCCATCTGGCAGTAAGTGCAACATGGCCATTTGGCAGTAAGTGCAACATGGCCATCTGGCAGTAAGTGCAACATTGCCATCTGGTAGTACGTGCAACATGGCCATCTGTCTGTAAGTGCATCTGGCGGAAAGTGCAACATGGCCATCTGGCGGAAAGTGCAACATGGCCATCTGGCAGTAAGTGCAACATGGCCTTCTGGCAGTAAGTGCCACATGGCCATCTGGTAGTAAGTGCAACATGGCCATCTGGCAGTAAGTGCAACATGGCCATTTGGCAGTAAGTGCAACATGGCCATCTGGCAGTAAGTGCAACATTGCCATCTGGTAGTACGTGCAACATGGCCATCTGTCTGTAAGTGCATCTGGCAGAAAGTGCAACATGGCCATCTGGAAGTAAGTGCAACATGGCCATCTGGCAGAAAGTGCAACATGGCCATTTGGCAGTTGTTCTGGCCTTTTGTGAGGATCATACCAATTTACAGAAGGCTGAATATTCATTCATAAAAAAGTTCACGATTACCAAATACAACCGCTAAAAAAGTTGTGTGAAGAAGAACGGGGACATACATACCCTTAGCAGTGTCTATTCTTTCTGAATTCAGTTACTCACAGTGACCATTGACATCACCTTTGATCTGAAATCCTTCTTATGATAATTGACGTTCTAGTACATTTTTATACAATGCCACTAAAGGAAGACATCACGGGGTGGGGGAGAAATGTTGGAAAAATATTTTGCATCACGTTTTACCAATCAACAATGTTGCCTGGACATGATGGATGTCCAGACAAGTTGTGAAAAACAAAACCATTTTTTGTCTTCTTCAGTCTCCAACAAAATTTCCAGGCGCATCCAAAATATTAAATGGTCAGTTCCAGAGTCTGAGCTTCAATAACTACAACTTGTTTTTTTTTTGCTTTTTGGTATCTTAGTTGTTTAACACAGCACTCAGCACTACTCTAGCCATATGGCATTGGTCTGCAAATAATTGAATCTGAACCAGTCAATCCAGGGATGACATGATCAGCATCGATCTACGCAATTAGGAAATGGTGATATGCATCAACCAAGTCAGCGAGCCTGACCACACGATCGCCTTTTGCGACAAGCATGGGTTGCTGAAGATCAATTCTAACCAGATCTTCACTGGATACAACTTATTTATATCCATTAATATCTATTCAGAGGTAAATGTGTGTAATCATTTTCAGTGTTAAGGCATTTATTATGCAAATTGTCACATTACAGTGTTATATCTACCAGACAAGTCCAAACCGATGTGGATGCCTAGAAGTTACTAACAAACTGATGCTGTTTACCAAGGATGAATTTCATAGAAACAATATCCTCTGTGTCAACAGAGAATGCAATTACCTACATTTGTAAACAGGACACATAGATATTAACAAAATGAAATAAATAAATTCATAATGCCGAGCTTCCGTCAAAATCTGCCATATTCTACAATAATCCACACATATTAGGTTTGAAGATATGACAATGCCAGACAATGTCTTACATTTCCAGAATGGTGCTGTTTTCCAGTGATGGGTGTCCATCAATGCACATTCCATTCCTTCTTTTCTACAGGTTTCGTGATTAAATCGTTTCCATTTGCGTTGAGCTACGGACAGAATTTAATGAAGAAATATTCTTCATAGCTAGAATCATATTTTCATGCAAATGTTTTAAACAGTGCACAGGGATGAATCTCATACATGCACAAACCAGATCAAGACTTGAAGATACAAATGAAAATGAGGGTATAGAGTGAAGACATTAGGGCATTCTCAGAGAGTACCATATATTAATGACACAAGTATCTTGGCAACATGATTGAAAATGTAAAGGAAAGGAGAAACTATCCTTGATAATAAAGGTATTCACAATAATTGTCAAGCACACGCAAATAATTTCTAAGTATTTTTACCTATATTTAAAGCGGGGAAAAGAAACTTTGTAATTGTACACACTATTCTTATCAAATATTAATAGAAGCACTTACAGTTCTAATTTTATCTGTTTCTCTCTGAAGACTTTTTAATCTGTGCTGGAGTGCTGGCTCAAATTTGAAGTTCCAAGTTTCTGGCTTTTGACACTTCCTACTTTCAGTTTACAGAAGTTTGAAAGGGAAGGCAACGATTGGTTGAATATTTTTTACTCCAAAAACGAACATACATGCATTTTAGAGGACCGCTTTAAGTGATTTGCCATGTGCCAAGTTAGAAGACTGACCAAAGTGGCAAGCCAAATAGTACATATCTCAAAGATACTATTAACTTTCATTGACTGATGAAATACATATTATTTGACCAGTTACTTTTTCCCGCTAATACACTATGGAACAATTTCAAGAAATAACTGACATAACGCAGAGCAAAGCTTCATCCCCAGCATCCACAACATGAAACTATCACTACAGCTGGGATGTCAGTCTGTCCTCGGCTAGTCATGCTACAGGCGAGGTGATACACTCCATATGCTGTTATTAGAGCTGCTGTTCTGGTTGACTCACACGTCCACGGAAATCTCCACACTTTTATGAGTGAGTGAGTGAGTGAATTGGGTTTAACATCGCTTTTAACAGTATTACAGTTGTATTGTGGTGTGTCGGCTTAATGTGGGAGGAAAGCCCGAAGTGATGCAGGTCTCAGACGTTTACCACTTCGGTGAAACCCACGAGCACGGGTATGGTGCTAACAAACCTAGAAACATAATCGGGGCGAACCGGGATTCAAACCCACAATCATAGGTTTCTGGCGTGCACAAGGGACGCAACTCTGCTCAGCCTTAGTCGACTGGGCCACCCGTGCTCCCCACACTTTCATGAACACAGGACAACGTCATGACAGACTGGCCACATCTGGTTCTACTAAGCTGTCACACCAGTCACAAGCCTGTTCCAGTTCTGTAGGAACTATGGAGACACTAGTGTGTTCAAACCATGAGGATCTACTGTGTTCTAGCAGGACATACTCCTTCATATCATGTACTGGAATCTAACTTTATAATGCATCCCACCAACCAAAGAGAGGTGGTAAAATGAAGCATAAAATGATGCAATATTGTAGAAGATAATACTACAACACGGCATCATGGACCGTGTTCGAAACAGCTGCCTGCTCGTTGTCCCATGGACAGGAAGGTGGAGTGGAAATTGTTCAGGCTTCTTAAACTGTCTGCTTAATATCTATATATTTCCAACTTAGGCAGACATCACATTGGTTATTACCATGGGAAATATCATAAGTATCGACCAAGTTGAGTTTTGAAAATATCTACTTCTTTCAGTCAGGTGACAAAAACCCCAAAGTTAGAATCACTAGAATTGCAAGCCAACTGTGAGGAAGAACACCTAAAGCCTTCAAGATTTTCTACACTGGAAGGTGAATGTATTCAATGCCTGGCACTGTTGTTTAGTGATCCCTTCTAAGGGATGGTTACAAGTAGGAGTTATTTCGAACACGGACCCTGAATGCACAATGGCGAGGGGGATCATCTCATAACTAGTCTCCTAGCAGCGGGCAGGTGCTACATGCTGCACATAACATGGAGACTTTGAACTGGCCCCCAGGAGATGTGTTTATGATGAGATGTGTACATGCTGTCAGTCTTGTAAGGAATTAGTAATAAAATGGATAATACTTAATACGTTCAGTGGTTTTCCTTGAGTCAGCAATATTCCAGCTACATCACGACGGCCTGTACACAATCAAGTCTGGGTAGGATGTATCCTCGTGTAACCAGTCATGTGGTGGCGACCAATCGGGGTACTTCATGTGTCATATGCTTACAACTACATGTACTCCGGGCTGAAGCTCACCTTGTTGTGTAGGTCCTGTACTACATCACTACATGTACTATATCAAGATACACACACAACTTTTTCAAAACAACTTTGTTTCACATACATGTACAATATAATTTACAATTTTGAGCACACTTGTAGTAGAATACATCTATGAATTGTGCATGTACATGTGTGGGCATATGTGTGTGTGTGTGTGCATGTGCGCGTGTGGCTGCCTGTACAAGTCTGGACTAATGCCGATTTTATAGTGCTAGCTCACTGAGATACGATGCCGCAGTTGAAAATGAATACCCCACTCAGACACAGTACACTGACTCCGAGCCGACCAGTCCTTGTTTTACCCCTCTTAATGCCGAGAGCCATACAGGGTAACAACAAGTAGCAACTTTTACCGTCTTTAGGTCTGATGCGGCAGACACTCTATCCACTTACAAAGCGGGTGTCAGAATTCTTGTATTTCTTGAGTGAAAGTAAATGGAGTCTGTCAAGCATAATTTCTTCATTTCCATTAAATGTATTGCTCAATCCTTTTGACCTCCCCTTAAGACAATGCACTGATCACAATGGCTGTCTAAGAAAACCACAACTGTTGAATGACATCAACAATCTTCAGCTATGATGTAATTTCTAGTGTGACGTCATTCCAACCTTACACCACAATAAGATTCGAATGAGGTCAACAATGGCGTCCAGATGTTGTAAGCAATACACTGGGTGCATGAAGTGATATTTGCCCAAGTGCACATACAATTTTTATGAAGTCTGTTAATCCTATGGGTAATAAATGCATCTATGAGTCAGTTAGCAGCTGTTAGTATCAATCCATGCAGACAGGACTATGTTGTTAGTTGAAAACCTAATACAAACAAAATCAAAATGCATCATGGCCGTGACCCTGACATCCTCATGAGTCAAGGGTTACTGGTTGAGGTAAGAGATTATTACAGTTTAAATTTTGGAAAATATGTTTAATCTTGTATAAATTATATCATTCCAGAGCACAAATTTCAGTCATGGAGCGGAGGACTTTATTGTTTAAAGTCTGCCAGGATTTTGACAAAGTCTAGATATGTCAATTTTTACCAAAGAGGATTCTACATACTGAGCCTACTGCTGTGTTTAAATCACTACTACAGGGCCTTGTTTTCATCTTGACAGTGAACTGCTAGGTTTTGTTCAGGTGTTTTTCTAGCAACAGAATACATTTCCGGGGTGACGTACAAAACAACCTTAGCGCTACAACATTCGTAAGTCTGTGTTAAGGTATAGGCATTGCGATTACCTTAGCGCTAAGATCGCTTTGTGCAATGGCACCCAGAAGTGATCAAATCAATACTATTCAAATAAACTATCTTTAACAACATGTTCACATAATAAAAAGCACTTTTGAGGGTTTTTTTTATGTGTACATGATCCAAGTCAAGTAAGTTCACAAATTAAAACAAACATCTCATCATGGTCTTGGTTTGATTAAATAAATAGTTCTTTGAAGTACTAGTGATGTTGTTCTGATGCTCTGTCATATTCAACTGCCATTGAATTGTGTGGTGAATGGGCATCTGATTGCAGTCAAATGCCAGAGGCCAAAGGGAGGTTACTCTAATGCCAACACACCCCTGACTCATGAGGATGGGTCATGGAGAAGCAAGGTGTTTTGTAACTCACAGTTCCACTTCGGGGGTGTCTGCCAGTGATTATTGTCATGGGTGAAGCATTTCATGTTGGGGGAATTACAGTTCACATTCTTCTTCCTCTTCCTCTGACGCTTCCGTTTCTTCATCTTCTTCCTATCATCTTTCTGATTAAAGCGTCCTGAAGTTTTGGAACTGGAACAGTCAAACCATGTTTATTCAATATCTTGACCGTATGGAAATATGTCTATTTCTCCATGTTCAAAGTAATTGAACAGACATATTTTTCGTCTGCCATTTCTGAACCTCATATAATTAAGAAATAAACAATGAGTGGGTGTTTTTATAATTGTACAATCAGAATTGGGAGAAAAGGTACAGGTAATCGAAGTCAGGATTGCGAGAATTCGGATGAAATACCCACCTGTGCATAAAATGGACATTGCCAAGGTCGGATTCTGTTGAGGGAGTCATCATTATTAAAATATGGGTAAATATTTTTTAAGCTTGTACATTTTATCCTCATCCTTAAATAGGCTGTACAAAATGTTGTATCCTATACAAGAAATAAACAACTTGTGGTCGTTGTTTATCGTACAATAAAACAATGCAGGGAGAATAAACCATGAGGGGTGCTCAAACATTAAAAAACGACCACAAGTCGTTTCTTTCTTATATGATATTTCAATATTATATAGCACCTCTTTGAGCATGTTAATAAAATGTACAAACTTTAATATTCACCCTTATCGAAATAATGATGACTACCTGAATACTATACGACCACAGCAATGTCGGACAAGTTCATTTTATCAACAGGGAGGTTAAGTTTAGTATTTATCAGATATTCCCACAGTCTTCATGTCAATTATCTGTACATTTTCCCCCAATACCGATTGTCATATCTCGACCACTTTTGGATTGGATCATTCGGCCACTGCGTTCATCTGTACTGTTCAGCTACATTTATGGAGACATAGACAAAATAACATCTTCCAAGTTAGGACGTCATTGAGTTGGACGTCATTGAGTTGCAAGCGAATGTTCGAATTTCCAGAAATGACGTCATGACAGAACAATGTTTTTTTTTCGTGACATACACCAAGTTTCATTGTTCTTGTGATTTATCACAAAGATATAGTCCGTCAACCATCATTTTGGCCCCCGTTTTTCAGGATTATTTTCCATTAAAGACACAGTCATGTAACGAAAGTTGGTTATATTCAAATAATAATCAGTGACCTAACTAAAAATAACAATTTTGTAATATTTCATGTCCGATTAAAAATATTTTCTTCATTGTTATCATTTAATTTTGTGACCACTGACACGACATTGTATTTGGACATAAGAACAGACGATTTAAAGTCTCACAATGACATAATGTGTGTCAAACAGCAATTATTAACAAAATATGTGCTCCTGACCAACCTTGATATGACATCATCTTCGCAGTCACAGTCGTCCTCCATATTGATAGTCTCCGACAACAGAGGGCCACTCATGTTCAGGTCAAACATACTCAGGTCATCAGGGCGCTGCTGCTTGAGGTGTCGACGAATAACCTGAAATACGTAAGGAGGTATTGGTCATGAGTTAATGTCATCAAGGTTTGACTTTGTTCTGGATATACATTTCAACTGGACATGCACCAACCCACGTAAGTTCAGGGGTGAACACGTCACAAGCTTGTCTTTCAAACATGGGACACACCATGTATGAATAACTGCTATGTAGAAACAAATTGGTAAAAATTTGTCTTTCTAATACTATACCAGCTTAGATTTACTTCCACTTTTCAAGGATTTTTATGTGTACTTTAATAAGCTGTGGTTTAATGTCAATATTTGCATCATATTACAGAATGTCATCATATCGTTGCAGGCTACATATGTCACTTTGAGGAAACCTTAGGGTGTCATCTTCCCGAGGCAAGAGAGTTAACTGACTTTAAAGTCCAGTTTCCACCCTTGCTGAACTAGGTTGGAATTACTGGGTTCGATCGTAGCGCCACCAGTGGCTATTACCAGTTATGTCCCTTCTAAGCCTCTCCTATGGACCAATCAGATTCCGGCTCTCTTATCACTTGCGTTTGCTTCACACAAAATGGTGTCGCTCAGTCAGGACGATCTGATCGATAATCAAGATCTATATTGTGATAAAATGGGTCTTACATCGCAAAATGCATCAAATCACATGAGCACCTTGATTAAAAACAGGAAAAGTTTTGGAAAATACCTGCTGACAACAAGTTGGCTGTGCACATGCTTTGCAAATCCTGCAATCAACAGAAATCTGCACGACAGTTTACGAACCGCATTTCGATTTCGGTGCGAGATTTTGATTGGACTATGCATAGACTCGTTAGTCCAGCCAAAATGTAACTCCATAATACCAGCCTAGTTCAGCAAGGGTGGAAACTGGACTTTTATAGTCAGGTAACTCTCTTGCCTCGGGAAGATGTAGGGTGTGGACATTGTGCTGATCAAGGATCTGGGACTCAAACTCAGGATATTCTGGCACTGATGGACCACTGGGCCACCTACAGGAATAGCAGCCCTTACAACTTGAGAACAAAAACCAAACTTGGACAATGATAACACTAGGCTGAGGTAATAGCATAACAAGCTCCTCATGGACTTCATGTTGCTTTCTGACAAAGTTGGAACAAAAAATATCTGTGTACAGTTATCTCACACGATTTTGTCACACTGTAAACAGTCAATATTGTTTGGTTCCTGCAATGTACTGTTACTCTGTGTGAAACATGCACACAGCCACATTCACACAGCCACATGCACACAGCCACATGCACAAAGCCACATGCACACAGCCACATGCACACAGCCACATACACATAGCCACATACACACAGCCACATACACACAGCCACATGCACACAGCCACATACACACAAGCACATGCTCACAGCCACATGCACACAATCACATGCACACAGCCACATGCACACAAGCACATGCACACATCAGAATGCACAATACACAGGTTGTGGAACTTCACAACAATCATCAAAATCCAAATTTGCATTTCATCGCTGTTGAACTTGGAAACATAATCATTTCTTTTTCAGTTCTACCAATTATACAACAAAATCATTAATTTCATAGTAACATAAATTTTTAGAAAAGCTTATTAGAATACCTTTTTCTCACAATTTTGTCAAGAATGTTGTCTGTCTTATTTGTATTATAACATATCAATTTTTTCAGAATTAATCACGGACAATTGCCAATTATACACCAGATAGTGTATACTTAAACGTGAGCTCTTTGGAGTTGAAACTGAATGATGCATCATTGGTTGAGTTTTGTGTTTTGAGTTTGTTTTCGATCTGACTTAAGAAAACACTGATATACTGATGGTATTAACAAAGTACGTGGGGCGTTCAAAAGGTTTTGCAACTTCAATATAACGCCAAGTCACAGAATATCTTTTGCACTTTTATTTTTCAATATAATCTTCATTCACCTCAATACACTTATTCCATTTGTCCTTCAAGTTTTTAATACAACTTTTATAGAAATCCGCAGATTAGCCCTCTAGCCACGCCTCTGTGGCAGCCTTTATGTCCTCGTCATCCTGGAAGCGTCTTCCACGTAGGGCAGATTTCATTTGCCGGAACAGGAAATAGTCACTGGGGTTCTAAGTCAGGTCTGTAGGGTGGGTCATTTAACTGTTCAAATCCACATTCACATGTGGTGGCCTGTGAAATTCTCGACTTGTGAACTGAAGCATTGTCATGCAAAAGTAGAATACCATGTGTTAACATCCCACAGCGTTTCTTGCGAATAGATTTTCGTAATTCTTTCATTACATTAGCATAATACTGTCCATTGAATGTAGTTTTTGGTGGCATATAATCAATCAGTAATATGCCTCTTGCATCCCAAAATATAACCAATGCTTGAGTGGGAAACTTCCTCGGAGGCGGAAAATTGGGGTGCTTCAATTGCAGGGATTCCAATTTAGTTTCTGGGTCCCAGTGGTGGATCCATGTTTCATCACCTGTCACTAGACGAGAAAGAAATCCGGCTTCATCAGCAGTATAGAGATCCAGGAGGTCTCAACAACTTTCAGTTCTCTGATTGCGATCTTGAGCACTGAGGTTTCTAGGTACCCATCTTGCAGATACCTTGGACATACCAGGATGCTCATGAATAATGGTTACAACAGTTCCAACTGATATTTGGAATTCCCTAGAAAGTTCAGATACTTTCACTCGTCGGTCAGACAAAATTCTTCTTTCTATAGCAGCAATGGTTTCCGGTTGGGTGGCATCTGAAGGCCTGCCTGACCTTGGGTCATCGTCTATGGACTCCCTACCCCTTTTAAACTGTAGAGACCATTGCTAAACTGTGGAATAGTCAGGAGCATCCTTACCCATCACTTTTCAAAAGCCGTCATGGATTTCTTTTGCTTTGCATCCCTCCTTGGTAAGGAACTTTATTACAGCGCGTTGTTCATGTTTGAGAGAATCCATGATTGTGACCACCTTTAGGTGCATGAAGCCATCACATCTAACTTATTGTTGTGTCTGGAACTTGTTATGACACATGTCAACCTGATGTTATGACTAGTGTCATACCTGCCAAAAGTTGACATTGTTTGTGTAAACACAAATGCCTAAGTTGTAAACATGCTCAGACATTTTTTTCAGACATCATCATCCTTTATAAGATATAGTTCAGGCATTGAAAGTATGGGGCATAGCTACTTCTTAAGCTAATATGATGTTGGTGCCCTATTAGAAAATAAGCAAGCCTTGCAAGGTTTAGTTCAACAATACACATCACTATTATGATGTCCCACCACTCATTGTGATGCAAAGGATATGACGTCACAGTCAGATACAGAAAGGCGCCAAATTTCAAGCTCACCATTGTCCCTAAACAAATACACCTTCTCAGCCTATTTCCTTTCGTCTTTTCAACATTTTCAAAATGCCTACTGACAATGGTTGAGAAAGAAGTTCTCTTCCATAAATATTAGCTTCTGTGGTGTCAAATCAGCTTTTTCAAAATTAAATATTTTACAAATTCATGGTAGAATAGCTGATGTAAGACCTGAGAAACAAAACAGTAGGTCAGTATGGCTTACTCTCAACAGGATTTAATCAATGCATTGAAATGTGTCACAAGTAAAGTCCTTTAACTTTCAGAGGTCTTGTGAATCCTTTACAAAACGAGGTCGCATTCCTCCATACCCTAGGTCTTCAGCAACCCATGCTTGCCTTAAAAGGTGACTACGGGATCGGGTGGTCAGGCTTGCTGACTTGGTTGATGCATGTCATCGATCCCAATTGCGTGGATCGATGCTCATGATATTAATCACCGTCATATAGCTGGAATATTGCTGAGTGCGGCGTTAAACAACAAAGCAAGCAACCAACCAACCTTACCCTACGTACACACAGAGTTAAAAAGATCCCATTTGAGTCCAAAGGCAGATTAATATTTACCAGGCTGAATCACACACGATGCATCACAGGTGCACTTAGGTAATGAACAGATTAACATGAAAATATAAGCATTCGGTTTAGTACAGAGTGTGAAGATCCCACCAATGATGCCTAGTTGTTGCATGTGATCTTGGAATGACCTTGGCATTTTATGCAGCCATGACATCAGAAGCATATGCACAAACACCATGACGTATTTCAGGGTAAGTGTCCATTCATATTGGCTGCAGATCTCATGCATGACAACAGCCAGCATGACCAGCCATGCATGACAAATTGCACCATGACCTGCCATGCATGACAAAGAGCCACCATGACCTGCCATGCATGACAAACAGCCAACATGACCTGCCATGCATGACAAACAGCCACCATGACCTGCCATGCATGACAAACAGCTACCATGACCTGCCATGCATGACAAACAGCCAACATGACCTGCCATGCATGACAAACAGCCAACATGACCTGCCATGCATGACAAACAGTCAGCATGACCTGCCATGCATGATAGAGCAATTATGACCTGCCATGCATGACAAACAGCTACCATGACCTGCCATGCATGACAAACAGCCAACATGATCTACCATGCATGACAAACAGTCAGCATGACCTGCCATGCATGATAAAGAGCCATTATGACCTGCCATGCATGACAAACAGCTACCATGACCTGCCATGCATGACAAACAGCCAACATGACCTGCCATGCATGACAAACAGCCAACATGACCTGCCATGCATGACAAACAGCCAACATGACCTGCCATGCATGACAAACAGCCAACATGACCTGCCATGCATGACAAACAGCCATCAGACTTGCTGTGCAGACAATGGGCAACATGTAGTAAGCCTGCCACTGCCCCACCAGAGGGGAGATCTGCCTTCCTACCTGGAGGTGTCGGCGAATGGCCTGAAATAAACACCATGCAATTTGCATGTGAGATTATTCACATGATCCATATTTCTCAGTGGTAGAAATAAAAGTTTTCTACTTTGATGCATAATCAGTAGTGCATGTCTGCCATTACAGAGAGGTAGCGAAGCAGGCGGAGAAGGTATAAAGAATTCTTTATGCAAGGATATAAGATCAGGTCCAGCATAAAACACATGCTTATTCTGCTCACCCTGAAATATTTCCTGAATCCCACGGATATTTACCCTGCCTCATCCTGCATCTTCTCCATCTCACCTTGAATCTTCCCTACCTCACCCTGAACCTTCCCTGCCTCATTCGGAATCGACCCTGCCTCACTTGGACTCTTCCCTGCCTCATTCTGAATCGACCCTGCCTCACCTGGAATCTTCCCTGCCTCATTCTGAATCTACCCTACCTCACCTGGAATCTTCCCTGCCTTATTCTGAATCTACCCTGCATCCCCTGGAATCTTCCCTGCCTTATTCTGAATCTACCCTGCATCACCTGGAATCTTCCCTGCCTCATTCTGAATCGACCCTGCCCTATTCTTGTATCTACCCTGCCTCACTTGGACTCTTCCCTGCCTCATTCTGAATATACCCTGCCTCACCTGGAATCTTCCCTGCCTCATTCTGAATCTACCCTGCATCACCTGGACTCTTCCCGGCCTCATTCTGAATCTACCCTGCCACACCTGGAATCTTCCCTGCCTCATTCTGAATCTACCCTGCCTCACCACGAATCTTCCTTGCCTCATTCTGAATCTACCCTGGATCACCTGGAATCTTTTCTACCATCATCCAAACTTCACCTTAATCTATTTTATGTCGCTCTTCTCAAATCATCTCTTGCTAATATTTAGGCCCTTCTTGGCACATCCTGAGATCCCTTCTCAACTCACCCTGAGATCTTCTAATGCCTTGCGGTATTCTTTGATCATCTCTTCAATTTTCTCCTTGTGGTCTTGTAAGGCTCCTGGATCCTGGTACAGTTCCTGGTCGCAAGATATTGTGCCGTTGTCCAACATGCGACATCGGCGGTCAAACAGTTCAAAACCTGAACATAAAATGTTTTTCGATACAAATTGAGGAAAACAAAATTCTGAACAAGGACACAAATTGTAGACAACAGCTAGGTCTGTATCAGGCAGCTGGTCTCACACTCCAGGCAACACACAGTTATCAACAGGAAAAAAACCCAAAACAAACTAAGAACAAAACACTTAATCATCTAAAACTCCAAGCCACAGGAGATATCACTTTGGTGAGATCAAGCGATATCTACATTGTAGATATCGCTGCAATGAAATTGCATCACAATGCTTTGCAGACCATTGTGACATCATTGGTTACCATAACGTAACAATCAAATGACATCACTAAAGGCTCTGCTACTGAAGCTGTTAGCAGTCCTTTTTACACTTAAGACACTGCTTATTACTGTCCACAAACTGAAAAAGTTGGAAGAATGATTTTGGAGGATAAATAAAATCTCACCCTCGTGTCTTTTGATATCAAATATATCAACACTTGTTGATAAAAGTGGACAAACTCCTCGGCAAGCCTCAGAATTTTTCCACTTTTATCAACTCATGTTGATGTACTTGATATGAAAAGACACTCTAGATTCTCTATACAGCTCACATGTTGAGGTTCTCGTCTGGCCATTGTGGCAAAGATTCAAGACAATGCATTTCGAAGACAGTGAAGTTCACAAAGAGCTTTGCACCGACACCTGAAAGCCACATCTAGGCAAATGTGGTGTCATGTTGACAAGATGACACCCACCTATTGTACTCTGAAGATCAACTGCTGGTGAATTGTTCATTGTATAGAAGTCAGACACAGATCTCTTGGACCGAAGAAACTTTGGACGGTACGCTGCAAGGAGAGACATTTGTAATCTTGTAAAACATGTTAAATGAGTGACTGCATCTTGTTAAATGGCAGAATTGTATCAAGGCAGTGGATAAGCAAAATATCGTCCTTTTTTCATGATGTCACCAAACAACATGGTTACCAGTTGTAGCAAGTTGGTGTCAAGTCGTTCATATACCATTACATGTGTTTAAAAAATTAATCTTCATGACTTCTATCTCTGTAGCAGACATCTGAGAAATCAGTGAGTGAGTGAGTGAGTGAGTGAGTGGGGTTTTACGCCGCTTTTAGCAATATTCCAGCAATATCACGGCGGGGGACACCAGAAAGGGGCTTCACACATTGTACCCATGTCGGGAATCGAACCCGGGTCTTCGGGGTGACGAGCGAATGCTTTAACCACTAGGCTACCCGACCGCCCTCTGAGAAATCAGTGGCGGCAAAGGTCCAATCCCAACACCTTACAGCAGTCCCATTTCCCATGGCTGCTGAACATGACCTTTCCTTGTCTGTCTTACGTTTATTGAGGTGGGCTTTGAGGAACCGGCGCTGATTCTTCCTCTCTTGCTGCTTCAACTTCTTCTTGCGCCCGGCACAGTTGCAGCCGAACGCTTGATCGCTCTGTACCTGGTTCTCCCCACGACACTTGTGTTTCCGGGGGATTCCACTCGGGGTCTGCTCACAGTACCACTTCTGTAAAGACACAAATGTGGATGTCACACACACGTGTAACCTGGGTACTCGGGTTGGGTGGGTACTGAGCAGGACCCGGGAACCCACAGGACTCCCCAAACCCATGGTTAGTCACATGATATATTGTTTAAAGCTAAAAATTATCACATTTCTTCCGGACTATTCACTTATTCCTTCTGAAATATAATTTTGAATAAAGATAAAGCTTCAGTCAACTTCAGTTATGCGTGACCAGATCGTTTTATAGTGTACCTAAATATTTTTTTGCCCAATCTCATTAAAATCAGATCCTAGTTCTCGCTGCCGCTAAACAAAGATCTGAAGACATCCCATTACGGGTCACGTCAGAACGACCTATCGTGAACCCTGACTGACCAATGGAATTACTGACAAGAAGTCGACATTAGCCAATCAGAAGGCAGCTTTCTTGTGCTTTACAGCACTAATTTCAAATTAGCGACTACGCTTCGAAACATATTTTGACAAATTCTCGCTTAAAAATTTGAAACCTGAACAAAAGAACATTCTCGAATGGCTAATATATGGTCCAGATTGTATAGATTCAGTTGTTATGCCCATAACTATTGTTCGGAATACCCCGTTTTAAAGTTTTCGAGGCTGCATGAAATGAAATCACATTCTGACTGTCACTTTCATGATCTGGTAAGCGACGCTCTGATTGGTTGGATGAAAGGTCGTTCTGACGTGACCCCTAATGGGATGTCCTCAGATCTTTGTTTAGCGGTAGCGAGAACTAAGATCTGATTGTAATGAGATTGTTTTTTGCCAGGACGCTGATCGAAAACAATTCCCTATCGGACATTTTGTACCAATCTCTTGAGACCTACAAGGGTCGGGTACCTAGTAGGGTCGGGTGTTAGTGGGGTGGGTACCTGGGTAGTAAATCTGGACTCATCCCAGCCCTAATACACAGCATCATCACTGAAATAGATCATAGCTCTCTGGTAGACCAGTCGCTGTCTTGTGCAATCCTTGCAAGCTGAAAGGCTGGGCTTTCATTGCTCTTGGGTATTCCATGGCAAATCACATTTATCATTGTTAGCTCACCCAAATTGAGATATTACGTTTGATACCTTCCTTAGTTTAATAAGCATCTCAAAGGATGAATGAACATTTTGAACACTGGTGAGATGACTTCGTTTGAATAACACTGTACAAAAGGCTTACACCACAGATGATTCATTGGCTCCTGCGAAGATTGAGAGACACAAATTTGTTTTAAACCAAACAAAATATTCTTTCACTGTTTTAGCAATCATATTCATCCTGACCTGATTGGCTTTACATGGCTGCTGGAAGTCTGGCTTCGAGCAGTCTCTCAGTTTACGTAGACGACCATTCAGATAGTAATGGTACTGTTCCTTGTCCTTTGTGTAGCCAGACCAGAAGTCTTTCTTTTCCTCACGGATCAACATCGTCATCTGCTTCTTTGTCACCTTACTGGAACAACATCAACACCAACTACAACCAGATCCATCTGACAGAACACCAGAAAGGGCTTCAAACACCATGTGGGGAATGAACCCAAAACTTAAGTGTGACAAGCAAACACTTTAACCAGGCCACCCCACCACAAAGCACATAAATCAGAAGGAAGTTATGGGGTTCCCTCAACCAACTGCTCCATCACACCCAGTGCCCTCCCTCATCCTGTTCCACCCCACCTAATGCCCTCCCTTGCCCTGCTCCACCCCACCTAATGCCCTCCCTCATCCTGCTCCACCCCACCTAATGCCCTCCCTCGCCCTGCTCCACCCCACCTAATACCCTCCCTGACCCTGCTCCACCCCACCTAATGCCCTCCCTCGCCCTGCTCCACCCCACCTAATGCCCTCCCTGCCCTGCTCCACCCCACCTAATACCCTCTCTCACCCTGCTCCACCCCACCTAATGCCCTCCCTCGCCCTGCTCCACCCCACCTAATACCCTCTCTCACCCTGCTCCACCCCACCTAATGCCCTCCCTCGCCCTGCTCCACCCCACCTAATGCCCTCCCTCGCCCTGCTCCATCACACCCAGTGCCCTCCCTCATCCTATTCCACCCCACCTAATGCCCTCCCTTGCCCTGCTCCACCCCACCTAATGCCCTCCCTCATCCTGCTCCACCCCACCTAATGCCCTCCCTCGCCCTGCTCCACCCCACCTAATGCCCTCCCTGACCCTGCTCCACCCCACCTAATGCCCTCCCTCGCCCTGCTCCACCCCACCTAATGCCCTCCCTGCCCTGCTCCACCCCACCTAATACCCTCTCTCACCCTGCTCCACCCCACCTAATGCCCTCCCTCGCCCTGCTCCACCCCACCTAATACCCTCTCTCACCCTGCTCCACCCCACCTAATGCCCTCCCTCGCCCTGCTCCACCCCACCTAATGCCCTCCCTCGCCCTGCTCCACCCCACCTAATGCCCTCCCTCACCCTGCTCCATCCCACCTAATGCCCTCCCTCCTCCTGCTCCACCCCACCTAATGCCCTCCCTCACCCTGCTCCACCCCACCCAGTGCCCTCCCTCATCCTGCTCCACCCCACCTAATGCCCTCCCTCACCCTGCTCCACCCCACCTAATGACACCAACTGCATCAAAGTCTGCGGGAAATAAGCCATAAATGATTTCAGATACTTGCAAAAAAATCAAGGCAACAAAATCAATTTAGGTACCATTAAACATTTGAATTCATTTTTTATCATTATACACATTCATAACATTTGGTTTAAAATGCTTTAAAGTCAAAAAGTGAAAGAAATGATTTTACACTTTTGTGTCAATATCCAATTTTAAGTCACTTAGGCCAGGTTCATACAGTGCCTATTATGGTTCCTGTTTGAGATCAGGCAGCGCTACGACATGAAAAGTGAAAAAGTCAGATTACTATCCTCAATAATCTCAAATGTCCTATCATTTTCTGAACACAGCCGTATAAGTTTGTAACAGAGTCCTACGGATCATGAAAGGTCAAGAGAGGTCAGCCAAGCACTCCTGACAGTATGGTGCGTCCCGTAACATTTGGCAAACTCAGCCGATTTTGTCTAGTCGGATTACAATCGTGACTATGTCGTGACAGATTCTGCTGTATCGGATCAAAATCATAACAATGTCCTGTGTTGTCTGGGGGGTGTCCTGTGGATCAGGACGCTGTCGTGATGAACGTGCATGCATTATTCATCGACATTTCTTGTCGATTGAGTCCAGATTATGTCCAGATTTTGCCGAATACGAACTGTCTTTGTCGCTTCACTGTACGGTCACTGTCTGATCTTTGTCGGATCACATTGGGAAGAATCGGGACTCTGTCAGGACAGATTCGGTCGTTTTTTCCCATGCGGAAGATACAAATCGGATGAGATTCGGATTAAGAACGGGAGATTCGGGACGAATTCGGCTGGAAATGGCGCTTCCTGAACAATATCTGATTGTTTGTAAATTTCCCGCCACGAATCACAGGATCTTGATCAGACTTTTGACAAATTTTAATCGGGAATGGTCCCATCGAGGACGGCAGTAATAATCCTGAACGTGTGACTGAGCCCTTACACACAGTGGTTATTCTCAGTTTTAGAACAGGTCCCCAGCACCCGATGTCTGTCACTCAAGACAACTAAATGGGCAGTATTAAACAACATATTGTTTTCATCGAATTAAGCGTCCTGTTCCAATAAGGGCCCCATGACCAATCTGTTAGTAATTTCTATAAGCACCCCCTTCATGTGTACATGACACAATTGCTTACAGAAGGAAAATATATATGGTTCAGTACTATTATTGAAAAAGATTGAATTTCATTGACGTCAGAACTTAGTTTGCTTATTACCATTCAATTCCTAAAAAAACCAAATTTAATTTGTGTATGGTTTTAACAAGCTTTTTACCACGATTACAGTATAAGGCACTGGGAATCTATGATGGCCTTAACCCTATAAAATTGATGGATCACATTGTTGCCAGGATGTTCAGCAGGTTATATGTGAAGATATTTTCAGCAACACATAATCTACTTACCCTCTCTCTATGAGGATGGTGTCCCTCCATGGCCTCTTCATGGGGACAAATCCTCCATTCGCCTCCCTACAGGGACACACACAACATCTGATGACTGTCTAAACACCACTGGACAGTCTTGTCAGTTATATCACAACAGCTTTGATGAAATGTCCACAAGAGCTGTGGAAACTTAAATAAAATACCCAAATTGTTCGGTAAAATCAACTGAATTCCAAAGTGAATACATCTTGACTTGAATAATAATGTATGATATAACGTAAAAGTGCTATTCACTGATGCAGAGGTGGATTACACAGTGATGGCTAAAACATCTGCTGTATCACATAGACCGCTTAGTTTACAGATGCAAAAAAAGATAAGTTCTACCATATTAGACGGATTCATTTCACTGGTGAAATAAATAAAAGACACAAGAAATCTTGTTTTCAGACAAGTGGGGCTATAGTTAGACAACATAGGATTTGGTATATAATATGATTTTGTTTAATTATGATGCACAATATCGAGAAAACTTTCCACAGAAATGTTTACACATACAGCAGCTGATCCTTGGCCATCCTGAGAAGCCGAAGCATGGACCGGCCATCCATCTGCTCAGGTGTTGGCACCCCTGCCATATCCAGGATTGTCGGGGCCAGGTCCACGGTAGCTACAGGATTGTTGATCCTAGGGAGACCCAAAACAAAACTCTCATCCTCAACAGTTGATTTTTGTTTGCTTGTTAGCTTGTTTGTTGTTAATGGCCCCATGCAGCAATAATCCAGCTATATGACGGCAGTCTGTAAATAATCGAGTCTGGACCAGACAATCCAGTGATAGACATCACGAACATCGATCCATGCAATTGGGATACGATGACATGCAACAACCTAGTCAGCGAGCCTGACTTACTGATCCCGTTAGTCGCCTCTTACGACAAACATAGTCACCTTTTACTGCAAGCATGGGTTGCTGAAGACCTATTCTACCCTACATCTTCACGGGTCTCCACAGTTAAACCTTTGTGACCTGGGCTTCCACTGAGTGAATAGTATTTCAGTTATATCAGGGCATGTTAGCCTATAATATCATAATAAATGCACTTATTATGCAGCAAATTAACATCACCAAGTGAATGCTCATGGCGCTACATTATTATTAACCCGGTGAATCGATAAGTTTTCACTCAATTTATATTCCCATCTCCCTGGGGAGTATACAAATTAATGTGAGATGAAAGCCTCAGGCATACACCACTTCACAAACTTTGTATCACTGAGTAATTAATATTTTAAAGTTAGGTGAATTTAAAGCTTGTCTCAGGATTGTCTTGCTGTAAAATGCTTTATATCACTGGTGTATTTACAATTCACTTTTCATGACATGTTATGCAAGTAAATAATTCATGAAAAAAATGTTGTAATTTGGGGAAGGAAAAGAGTCATATCATTATGGTTTGCAATTCTGCAAAGAGTTTTTCAAAATGGCTGACTTTGAAAAAAAAAAAGTTGTACAAATATTTTGCTTGATGGATTCAATTGCTTTCCATTGCTAAACATGTTCTCAGTTGGACAACAACATACACTGTCCTCGGCATGATACCAGGGCCTCTCATTATCATGGGAATCCGGATGTCGAAGTCATATGGCATGGCCTTGCCCTTGACGAGCCCATACTGTCCCAGATGGTAGCCGTGGTCGGAGGTGTAGATGATGTAGGTGTTGTCAAGCTCTCCAAGCATCTTCAGCTCATTGTAAACCTGATGAAAACAAAACTTGCACCTCAAACTTTCAACTATCACTAATGACAAGAATTTTCACCCAATTCTTCATCTTTAACTCTCAGAAAAGGGACGCTTTTTAAAAAATCTGATGTAGAAATGAGGTAGAGCGGCTAACAGAAAATCAATGACAATAAGCAGTGTCAAGACCAGTCTATGTGATTTTACTCCTCTTCTCTCACTGTTGTACTGCAGTTCACATGGCTTGGGTATCCATGAACAAGCTCCACAAACTGACCATGCTTCATTACTCAGTGCCTTAAATACCCTAGACCCATTTGCTACTAGGGCTTTATTTTATTAAAATGACATAATGCTAAATATAGTTATCCAATTAAATTACACACATGTGCCTGAGAAACTCTGTTGGAAGTGAGAGTTAGACAGTTGCAATGACATCCGCTGGCAAGTGAAGCGAGGACAGAAAATGGGGCCAGAGTATTTTAATTATAACTGGAGATATAACACAATCAAGGAAAAGAATGGATCTCCTGGTCTCGTGATAAGATTTTTGGGTTCTTCATTAATTATGTTTGTAAAATGATCTTTGTAAAATGATGTTTGCAAATGGATGCTTGTAAATCATCTTTGTGAAAATAATTAATGTAAACTGATGTTTGCAAACTGATGTTTGTAAATTGATGTTTGCAAATTGATGTTTGTAAAATGATTATAAACTGGTGTTCAAAAACTGTTGTTTGTAAATTGGTGTTAGTAAACTGCTTCTCTCCTCACCTTCTCCACAAGATCATCAACTGACTGCAACGTCTGTAGCCGCTTCCTCTGCAGCATGTCGGTGAAGTGGCGATACAGTGGTGTCATGGACGCTGTGTACTGCAGCAGCCATTGCTTGTCTGGGTTTGGAGCAAAGTTCCAACTCGGTGTCCTACACAAAACAAGTACTGTACTAATTGGGCATGAGCTCAGCATCTTCCACTAAAAGATAGCAATATGTCGCTGTGTGATTATTTTATCTGCAAAAGCCTGAAATAATTCTTACTGTGAATAAATGTATCATATCCCAGTTTGATTAGCTCTTAATGTGTAAAAAATAGAAACCTTTCCGGTATTCTGTCTTTTGGACAAAACATACCAGTATAGGAAAGCTAGTCCTGCCATGGCAGTATTTCATACCGATGATACATGCATGTTCTTCAAGGCAGATTTCCAAAACATTCAAATCTCTACACAGAATTCAGTAAATAATCCAATCTGGACCTGACACAGGAGTGGCAGATGCACAACAATCACTACCACCATGACTCCTCACATCCCACAATGTAGTCCAGTCTTTCAATTTTAGTCAGCTCAAGTGAGTAGGCTTTCACACCACCTTCGACAATACTTCAGCAATATCATGGCAGGTGACACCAGCTTCACAAATTGTACCCACTAGGATGAAAACCCAGGTCTTTGGTGAGACGAGCTAGTGCTCCAACCACTAGCCTACCCCTTTGTCTGTTCACAAGAAGCTACTACCTCGAGTTACAGTTCTCTAACCAAACAGGCCTGTTTTAAATAATGAATTTAATGTCAATTTAATACCCACATTAAGTATTATGATTGCTGTATGTTTTATGCTGCTTTTAGAAATATTCCAGCAATATCACAGTTACGGATACCAAAATTGGGCTTCTCACATTATACCCACGTGGGGAATGAAACCCAGGATTCGGCAGGACGAGCAACCAGTTTAACCCCAAGACTACCCCACAGCCAGACTGCTCCATAAGTTAAGAGTGCTGGTACTTGCATTAACTTACTAAATTTTATGGTTTACCTGCTCCAGAAATAGTTGTGTGTCTACAATCTATTTCCCCAGAATAAGCATGGCAGTCGAGATAAGGAGTACTCCCAATTACCAAGGGTTAAAACATGAAGCCTCCCGATAGGTTTAACTGGGAGCTATGCATGCCAATAAGGTAATTACGGTGTTCAAATAACCAGCACATTGTGGGCCTCTTGGACAGTGTGTGAAAGTCTGCACACATCTTGTACCTGTGGGAGGTGTTGTTTTTGAACATGTGTTGATACTGTGGGGCAGCATCTTCAGGTCCGTGAGGGGCAGGCACACTCAACACCATCAGCACAGGCCTGCAACATCAACAACACTGGATGTAGTGTACTGCAGCCCTGAAGGGAGACAACTCTTCAGTGCTTGTGTCTGTCTGGGGCATTATTTCTGCATGTGTTGGAATAACTGTATTCTTATGAACTGTATAGAGTTAGAGATGTTGCTTAACACTGCTGTTAAAATCTAAGCCATAATGCGAGAGAGAGTGTGTGTGTGTGTGTGTGTGTGTGTGCGTGTGCGTGTGCGTGCGTGCGTGTGCGTGCGTGCGCGTGCGTGCATGCGTCTCTGTGTGCTTTCTTAGGGATTTTGTTTGTACCATGGTTAATGGACTTAAAATTTGAAAAATTATTATTTTGTTCCTGCTAATTAACTAGTTTCAGTATCCATAATGAACTTAAATATACAGATAACTGACTCTTTTCCATTTCTTTTTTATTTCACACGACCGCCATTTTGTTTAATGCCACTTTCAGCAAGCGTCCAGACATAGCGGAGTGGAGGAGTCGCCATGGGTGTCACACATTGCACAACACGGGGACTGGAACCTGTGTCTGCTGCAAAATGAGCCAATAACACACTGACCCATTTCAAAACTAGAAAATTGGGTGACCTGAATATTTGGAGCAGACATACAGTCTTATATTTGCACAGTTGAAAAAGTGCACTAAATGTATGAGAATTTTAATACTTTTTCTCTAAGATAATAAACGATATGCCATGGTGTGTAACTGAAATGGGATGGCTGTGAACCAACAATATTCTTGATATCCTAAGTCAACTTTGTTCGCAAAATGGAAATAACAGGAACATAATAATTACCAGTAGTATATATGACTGCACAAACACTGAAAACTACATATCAGGAGTTGTCTCCACATTTACAAGTAGGGACAAAGCCTTTCAGTGCTCAAGATGAGGTACTGGCTGGATCACTCACCTGGTAGGGTAATACTGTTTGCTTTGTTTAAGGAATGTAACACTGTCATTAGCTATGAGATCTGTCAGATAGTCACTGTAATAATTATCTTGATGTTTTATTTTCCTCCCATTGAAGTTGATTGAATAATTGTAGTAGCGGGAGTTCCGAATTAGTCCGACCCATTCTCTCCAGCCTGGCGGGATGTAGGTTCCATTGTACTCATTTAAATATTTCCCAAAATAACCTGAAACAGAAACACAAGCACTGAAATCCTACTCTATCCAACGAAAACATGATACAGAGATTTAACCAGACCTGCATTGAGGACAATACTGGTAAGGCCCAAAGTCTGCAGCAAAAGTCAGTAATAATTCCCAAGTTCATGTTTATGTATAATCATCAGTAATGTTATGGCTTTGTAGAAGAGTGAGTGAGTGAATATGGTTTTACGCCGCTTTTAGCAATATTTCAGCAATATCACGGCAGGGGACACCAGAAATGGGCTTCACACATTGTACCCATGTCGGGAATCGAACCCGGGTCTTCGGCGTGACGAGCGAACGCTTTAACCATTAGGCTACCCGACCACCCCCTTTTGTAGAAGAGACTTGTGTTACACTGCAGGAGCAATAAAGAGGAAGTGGCTTTAAAGCTAAGTTTTACATTAAGGTGAGGTGAAATGGGGTTTAACGTCGCGTCCGTTTTACATTAAAGCAGTGAATGCAATGTTAAGATACAGTGTTAAAATATCTCTGTATTAAAGAAAATATAAACTTTAAAAAATCACAATTTCAAACAATGTAATGATTTTTCCAAAGTTGCCTGCTGAAGGCACTGTGTCTGGAATCCAAGATAAAGCCTGTTATAGCATAACATGGGATAGGAACACAAACTGGTTAAACCTATACTTCATCATCGTTGATCTTAGATATTGGTATTGAGGAATAAGCTGTATTCAAGTTAGGTTCATCTAAAGCCAAATTGTAAACCAGATAATAAGAAGAATTGCAAGAACCAAAAAAAATTTTAACAAATAAACTGAGGCTTCACTCTTAAAATAACCCTGCCCTCCTCCTTGCCCTAGCCCTATCTCCAGCTTCCCCCCACCCCCACACACACCAAGAAATGAAAATAGTCTATCAAATAACTACTCTGAATCTTAATCAACTTGTCTTAAAAACCAAAAAAAATAAACAGGGTTGATTGATGATCAATCGAGAAGACACAAAAATCAATGCAAATCTAATAACAAGAATATTGCATTTTTTAAATTCCTGTGAACTAAAAGGCTATTTGTTCATTTTCCTCAAAAAACTGTTTCAACAAAAATTTAAATACAAACTACAAATAGTCCCAATACATAATTTTCTGCAGCATTCAAATATCACATGATCACGAAATAGCTACTGTCAAACTCATCATCGAGGGACCTGAATGGGTATATCTACCCACAGATCCATTCATCATGGTAACATCTCAAGAAGTGTACAAATCAGTGTACAGCTGATTGCTGACAGAGAATGGAAGTGAAGGAGTATGCTACAAAATGAAGGCCATTTGGTAATGGCGGCATGTCCAGTGTCCCATGATTAGCAACAATTAGAATTGTGGGAGATCTATCTCACAGACAGGAATATAGATTATATAGAGCACAAGCAAATACTTTTGTCAAATGGTTGGTCACTATATTGGTCAGGTGGAGTTACATCTATATGCAGACAAAGCACTGTAAAGTATACAGTTAAAAGAGGTGTGAAACTCTCGTGCTTCCTGAAACATTTTCATTTCAGCATAACAGGTCTTAAACAACAAACACTTGACGACACTAACTGTACAGTTTATAGATAGAGAACTTGTGTCAGTAATCTAAGATAGATAGAGACCTTGTACCAGTGCTCTAAGACAGATAGAGACCTTGTGCCAGTGATCTAAGATAGATAGAGACCTTGTGCCTGTGATCTAGGATAGATAGAAAGAGACCTTGTGCCATTGATCTAAGATAGATAGAGACCTTGTGCCAGTGATCTAAGATAGATAGAGACCTTCTGCCTGTGATCTAAGATAGAAAGAGACCTTGTGCCAGTGATCTAAGATAGATAGAGACCTTGTGCCAGTGATCTAAGATAGATAGAGACCTTGTGCCTGTGATCTAGGATAGATAAAAAGAGACCTTGTGCCATTGATCTAAGATAGATAGAGACCTTGTGCCAGTGATCTAAGATAGATAGAAACCTTGTGCCAGTGATCTAAGATAGATAGAGACCTTCTGCCTGTGATCTAAGATAGAAAGATACCTTGTGCCAGTGATCTAAGATAGATAGAGACCTTGTGCCAGTGATCTAAGATAGATAGAGACCTTGTGCCAGTGATCTAAGATAGATAGAGACCTTGTGCCAGTGATCTAAGATAGATAGAGACCTTGTGCCAGTGATCTAAGATAGAAAGAGACCTTGTGCCAGTGATCTAAGATAGATAGAGACCTTGTGCCAGTGATCTCAGATAGATAGAGACCTTGTGCCAGTGATCTAAGATAGAGACCTTCTGCCTGTGATCTAAGATAGAAAGATACCTTGTGCCAGTGATCTAAGATAGAAAGATACCTTGTGCCAGTGATCTAAGATAGATAGAGACCTTCTGCCTGTGATCTAAGATAGAAAGATACCTTGTGCCAGTGATCTAAGATAGATAGACCTTGTGCCTGAGCTCTAAGATAGAAAGAGACCTTGTGTCAGTGCTCTAAGATAGATAGAGACCTTGTGTCAGTGATCTAAGATAGATAGAGACCTTGTGCCAGTGATCTTAGATAGAGAAATATAGAGACCTTGTGCCAGTGATCTAAGATAGATAGAGACCTTGTGCCAGTGATCTAAGATAGATAGAGACCTTGTGTCAGTGATCTAAGATAGATACAGACCTTGTGCCAGTGATCTAAGATAGATAGAGACCTGTGTCAGTGCTCTAAGATAGATAGACCTTGTGCCTGAGCTCTAAGATAGATAGAGACCTTGTGCCAGTGATCTAAGATAGATAGAGACCTTGTGCCAGTGATCTAAGATAGATAGAGACCTTGTGCCAGTGATCTAAGATAGATACAGACCTTGTGCCTGTGATCTAAGATAGAAAGAGACCTTGTGCCAGTGATCTAAGATAGATAGAGACCTTGTGCCAGTGATCTAAGATAGATAGAGACCTTGTGCCTGTGATCTAAGATAGAAAGAGACCTTGTGCCAGTGATCTAAGATAGAAAGAGACCTTGTGTCAGTGCTCTAAGATAGATAGAGACCTTGTGCCAGTAATTTATATGGACATAAACCATCGTGAGAACAAAGGGCAAGGCAAAACTTTCTATCCTGAATAAGTACTGACACTGTCATCTATTACATAAGCATGAGAAGTCTGCTTACCTGTTCTATAGCCTTTGTCATTAAGGTAGGTGGCAAACGTCCTTGTTTCATGGGTCTTTTGCCACTGTATAGAGGAACAATTGTCATTGTTTGTATACACATTATGATTGTGTGTGTACATGCCGGTCAATATAGAACTCCTTGAAGGGCAACACATGGGTGTCGATGAAAATGAATAATTAAAAAACGCTCCTTGATTTCGTATCAGCCGATTCAATTTCGGCATGACATCTAACGATCCTAATAATAGGTCCTGATCGTCTGTAAGCACAATAACTATATTAGGCTTTTCACTTTTGTTTCGCCGATGTCTTGGAGTCCTATAATATGGTTGGTTTTTTTCATGAAAGCGGTTATTGGCCTCCGCTAGTGTGTAGAACACTATGAGTGTTAGTCCAAAGTGTAGAAGATTCGCCCTCATGGTGATTGGTCAGTTGGTGTGCTCAGCAGAGGTCAAGTGATGTCTTGATATGCTGTTTTCATAGTCACAAACCTGAAACAAAACAACTATGTCTGAAATATCAAACAATAATTATCATTCTTAAAAATTCTATGAATACTATCTCTATTACATCATTGCCAATAGTTCTGTGTTTTGGCTGTCATCACAATATATGTATCTTTTATTTTCACTGTCAGCTATCCAAAATCAGGCTTTTGGATAATAGTCTTTCATCGCTAAGTCCCTTTGCACATGCCTCAGGTGGGAAGACCTCACTCCTTTCCAATAACCAAACATCAACCTGGATGCCAATCATTGGGGGAAGTAGGTGGAATTACACACAGGAGGGAAGTTAATTTTCGGAAGAATAACTTTATTTCATTCAACTGTAATTTGTATTCAAATTGTGGCTCATTTTACAATTTAATATAAAACAATTAAAATAATTTCATCTGAATAATTTGATTCAAACGAACTTAATGGTTCACTATCGATGAGCAACAAAAAGGCAATTATCCACTAATTCAGAGTCATGGATTCCTAATCAAGTACATCTGTACTCATTAACAAATTAGTCCTTCTCTGTAACTGCACCGAACAGCACAAGTGTGCATCACAAGGAGAACAGCGTGTAGAACAGCTGAATCACGTCATCTCCACCAGCGTGAAGAGAGCTCGAGGCATCATGGGAGGTGCACTGAACTGGGCTTTAACGTCACGTTCCAGATTATAGTGTGTGTGTGTGTGTGTGTGTGTGTGTGTGTGTGTGTGTGTGTGTGTGTGTGTGTGTGTGTGTGTGTGTGTGTGTCTTTGTGTGTGTCTTTGCGTGTGTCTTTGCGTGTGTCTCTGTCACACTCTGTATGTGTTAGAAGATTCTGATTAGAATTGGGCTTCATCAACAGATTGTAAGAGGCGACTAACAGGATCACATTGTCAGGTTCGCTGACTTGGTTCATGCATGTCATCATATCCCATTTGCGTTGATCGATGTTCATGATCTCAGTCACTGGACTGTCTGGTCCAGGATATCAAGAAACCTCTTTCCTAAAGCTGGAATAGCCCTAAGTACAGCGTTAAACAGAACCGAAAATGCTTTACTCCTCATGTTCTATCACTATTCCAGCCAGTTCACAGCAGGGGACACTGAGAATGAGCTCTACAAGTTGTACTGGCGATATACTTGAACATCCCCATAGGATGTTGAAAGAGATACTGCAGGCTATATGACATAAAACCCCATCTACTTACTATTAGGTTACCAAGACCTCTAACACAAAGTGCTTCCAGCAGTACAGTCTTGATAAATCTCACCCCACTTGCAGCTTTTGGTGCAAGCTTGCTTTGTGAGCGAGATCCTGTGACTGTTTCCCGAATCCACTAATCTGGAGCTTTAAGTGAGAGTTCATAATTCTGACATCTTGATGTGAATAGCGCCACATGCTAGCTGCAAGTTGTATACTCCAAAGGGACCTGAACATACACTTATTATAGGTCTGCCATAAACCACAACCCGAGAATGTCTTACATAACATTAACATCTGCCCAGAATCAGGAACAGCCTCTTAAACACATAATAAATGTACTTATTAGCATCATCGTTACTTTTTATGACAGCAAAGTGGAATCACCTGATAAATCACAGATAAACCCACACTGTTTAACACCCGGGGACCATCTCATCTCAGCAACTACCTACATCTAAGTCTTAAACGCATCAGATAATATCTAAGGAAGGGGAGCTATGTCTGCCTCCCTATTACCCCCTGCAGCACGACACCTAGATTAAATGCTTGGTCTTGCAAAAAATATAATTTTTCCTAAACTAATGTTTAGTCTTGCCAAAAATATAATTTTTACCTACACTAATGCTTAGTCTTGCCAAAAATATAATTTTTACCTAAACCAATGCTTAGTCTTGCAAAAAAAAACCATTTAAATTGAAAAGGACCCTCAATGAGATGTTGGTTTCAGAACCTGTGGAAAACCTAGACTTGCTTCATTTCAGGCAGTTTCATTACATGCAGCAAGGTCTGGGCAGAAGTGGAAATAATATGGTTCAGGAACTGTCAGATGGACCACAGAACAATGTGTCTGGAAGGGACCCCACATAGGTCTCTACTTTAGCAGAGTGAAGGATTTTGTCCAGAGAGCAGATAGAGGTCTCTACCACAGCAGTAAGTAGGATCTCCTTGTCCAGAGAGCAGATAGAGGTCTCTACCACAGCAGTAAGTAGGATCTCCTTGTCCAGAGAGCAGATAGAGGTCTCTACCACAGCAGTAAGAAGGGTCTCCTTGTCCAGAGAGCAGATGGAGGTCTCTACCACAGCAGTAAGAAAGATCTTGTCCAGAGAGCAGATAGAGGTCTCTACCACAGCAGTAAGAAGGATCTCCTTGTCCAGAGAGCAGATATAGGTCTCTACCGACAGGAGTAAGAAGGATCTCCTTGTCCAAAGAGCAGATATAGGTCTCTACCACAGCAGTAAGAAGGGTCTCCTTGTCCAGAGAGCAGATGGAGGTCTCTACCACAGCAGTAAGAAAGATCTTGTCCAGAGAGCAGATATAGGTCTCTACCACAGCAGTAAGAAGGATCTCCTTGTCCAGAGAGCAGATATAGGTCTCTACCACAGCAGTAAGAAGGATCTCCTTGTCCAGAGAGCAGATATAGGTCTCTACCACAGCAGTAAGAAGGGTGTTTTCTAAGAGGAGCCAGCCAAGTTCGGTCTGTTGTAGACATGCACAAGTCTCTATGGCTATGATTATTAGTTTAAATCATAATTCCTAGATTCTATAAATATAAATATAAACAAAATTTTCCTGTAATAGACTCGCATCCTCAAAGACTTATGTGTCGTCCGTTTATCTAGACTTGCCTATTACAAGGATAGAATTACTATACATCCACGGACTTATCATTCAGCAGAGGCTTGGATCAAGGCTAGGTATGTTGATGCTGGCTAGGTTTGGTGCCCATCTGGTGCTGTCATGACAACCATTTATTCTACATACCATCTTACAAAGCTGTCAGGAAATTTCTTTATCACAATGTTAATTGCTACCTAAATATTTGTTGTGAGACAGTCGATAAACGCATCAATTACATATATATGTTACTACACACTCCAGCCATGGAGGGCAGTGTTTATAGATTCAACATGATCATGCTGATAGGCCATTATGTCTGAGAAATGATACCTTTATTATCTGTTTAGTCACACAGTCGCCAACTGGCACTTACAAAGAAGAGGAATAGATAAAGAAGAGCAGCAAATGTCAGGTCTTACTAACTACACTAATTACACTGAAACCGTGGGAGAAATTAAGATGAAGATGGCTAGTAGAATTCAACGGTGGACACAAAATACACCCATTACAAACTGAGAATGGACAGAAATCATATGCACTGAGGCAGCAGACATTAATTACAATATTACTGCTTGAATCATCAAACCTAATTCAATTGTAACACAAGCAGGCACATTAAATATAACCGCCATTTCTCTAATGATGAAATGAAATTTAAGATTAAATCAATACAGTAAACTACGGTTATAACAAACTCAAAGAGACCTTTAAATTTAGTTCGTTATAAGCATATATTCAGAATATATACAGCAAATGACCACGACCAAGAAATAATTTTGTAATATCAGTCAGTTCATTATAAGTGTGTTTGTCATAAATGTATTTTACTGTAATTCATAACGTTCAGACTGTCTAATTCCAATTCAATAATTCAGATTCTCTTCAACAGTGGTCAACAAAGTCTCTTGGTTCATGGCTGAGACTCTGAGAATTGTTCGTATGTTAAAGCCTCCGGTACAGTTCATGATAGACTTAGGTTAATTACAACCAGTAGGTACTAAATAATTCTACTCCAAAAACAATGTATCACATACAGCTGTATTAGAAATTAACACAATCTTGCCACCATGGGCTTGTGAAAGATTCAAAAGGATTGAGGAATTAGAAATGGTAGTAGGACATTAGCTCTTCTTCCAAGCTAAATCACACAGGAAACTATACTTTTACAATCCAAGTTACCATAATTTCCAGGTTTACTTTTGTAATGCAGTTGTTGAGATTCCCACATGGTGATGTACTGAAACAGTGAGTTGGGCTTAGGCTGCTATAAACAAATTGCAAGATGCACTGTTCAACTGTTAATTGAGCAGCATAACAGCTTCTTGGAGAAGGAAAGTTAACAGTGATTCAGGTCATAAATGTTTACCACTTTTGTAAAACCAACGAGCACAGATGTGGTGCTGACAAACACCAGGACATAATCTAGGGTTAGAACCAATGACCAGCTGATCCTGGCTTGTCAACAGGTTCCATCATCCACCATCAGGTTCCATCACCCACCAACAGGTTCCATCACCCACCAACAGGTTCCATCACCCACCAACAGGTTCCATCATCCACCAACAGGTTCCATCACCCACCAACAGGTTCCAATCACCCACCGGGAGGTTCAATCATCCACCATCAGGTTCCATCACCCACCAACAGGTTCCATCACCCACCAACAGGTTCCATCATCCACCAACAGGTTCCATCACCCACCAACAGGTTCCATCACCCACCAACAGGTTCCATCATCCACCAACAGGTTCCATCATCCACCAACAGGTTCCATCACCCACCAACAGGTTCAATCATCCACCAACAGGTTCCATCATCCACCAACAGGTTCAATCACCCACCAACAGGTTCCATAACCAACCAACAGGTTCTACAACCAACCAACCGGTTCCATAACCAACCAACAGGTTCCATCCCTCACCAACAGGTTCTACAACCAACCAACAGGTTCCATAACCAACCAACAGGTTCCATCCCCCACCAACAGGTTCTACAACCAACCAACAGGTTCCATCATGCACCAACAGGTTCTACAACCAACCAACAGGTTCCAAAACGAACCAACAGGTTCTACAACCAACCAACAGGTTCCATCATGCACCAATAGGTTCTACAACCAACCAACAGGTTCCATCACCCACCAACAGGTTCTACAACCAACCAATAAGTTCCATCATGCACCAACAGGTT